TATTGGTTTTTTTTTTTCATCGTCTTAAAAGTCTTACCCGGTGGAACAGTGGAAATATTCCTTATTCACGCAGTTTCTCAAGCAGTCAGGGATACGTCCAACGATAGCTCGTCGTATCTCACTCGCAGCCATTTCACGGAGTTCTGAGCAGCTTGCGTCACTGTAAAATGCCGCGTGTGGTGTACATAATAAATTGGGAGCATCCTTCAACGGACCTGATGAACCAAAAACAATAAAATAATTATTAATGTAATCTTCAATCTACCACTTTTTGTTATCTTATTTATATTTTTATAAACAAGTACACAGAAAAAAAATTTAATAATTTTGAAAAATTTCATCTTAATTTGAGTAGAAAATTTCTTTAATAAATAATGACTTTTGTTAAATTGCACTGTACTTTTTTAACTATTGACATTTTTAAAGATATAAACTCATTCTGATGTTACACTTATCAAGAGCTTTCATTTGAGTACCCACATGCATTTTTTATATATTTTTCATTTTCATATATACATATATATTATATATATATATAAATATATAAAATATATGAAAAATTGATGTGGGCATTCAAATGAAAGGTCTCAACGAGTGTAACATTAGGATGAGCTTATATCTTTGAAAATGTCAATAGTTCACAAGATACAAGGTCATTTCTTAATTATTGACATTATTAAAGATATAAGCTCATCTTGATGTTACACTCATCAAGACCTTTCATTTGAGTATATATTTTATATATATGGTATTTCTGATATATATAAATATATAAAATATATGAAAAAATTGATGTGGGTACTCAAATGAAAGGTCTTGATGAGTGTAACATCAAGATGAGCTTATATCTTTAAAAATATCAATAGTTCACGAGATACAAGGTCATTTCTTAATTATGTACCTAGAGATAGAGCATTTTCGAATGCAGCCTAAATACTCTTAATAATATAGATTTTACTTTCTTGTCTTGATTCAAAACAATAAAACTCTTCAAAATTATTTTCTTAGTTAAAGAATTTTTTTTTCAGTGTATAAAGTGTATCTATTAATCTATAGCTATTTATACTACGCTCGTGGTCATTTACAAGAAAGCATCACTGGCAAGGAGATAAGCGGAAAGTGAAAGAGGAATAAAATTAGTTTAGTAAATAGGACCGTTAGGCTAGGCCAGATAAGACTCACATTGCGCATTGGACTGACCCTGAAAGACATTGTACGGTTCATTTTCATGAACGTCGAGGGCTGCCGCGCGGATTCTGCCTTGTTTTAGGGCAGCCGCCAGCGCGTCGTCGTCAACTAACCCTCCTCGGGCTGTGTTTACTAAAAATGCCCCAGGTCTCATCTAGAAATTTTTTTAATAAATTAACCAATTGATAATAATTTAATTTAATCTAGTTTGGTAATAAAATTACCTGTTTAATGGTGAATTCATTAATTAAGTGATGATTGTGTTCGTTCAAGGTACAGTGGAGAGACACACAGTCTGATTGATAGAGAAGATCTTGCAGTGTGTACACTCGAGTAAGACCAAGCGATTTTTCGATACCATCAGGAAGATACGGATCGTAAAACATGACGATAAATCCAAAGGCTTTGGCGCGCAAGGCGACTGCTGATCCAATTCTTCCTAACCCAACTATTCCGAGAGTATCTCCTCGTATCCTGGCGCAACCTTGTGCTGCTTCTCGTACCTAAAATTTATTTAATTTTTAATATTAATTTAATTTTTAGTATTAATATTAATTTTAAAATAATCTAAAAGTGGTTTTAAAATTACCTGCTCAGGTCCAGTAAATTTTTTTCCTTCCCGAACCATGTTCGCTAACCAGTATGTACGCCGATAGAGGTTCAAAATAAGACAAAGTGTCGTATCGGCAACTTCTTCGACTCCATACCCGGGGACATTACAAACAGCAATGCCCAGCTCACCAGCAGCTTTTACATCAATGTTGTCAACTCCTGATCCAATTCTGACAATTATTCTTAAGGCTTTGAATTTTTCCAGATCTTCTTTCGTCAGAATAATCGTGTGCCACATCAAAGCTCCTACGGCTTCATTTAGTACCTAAAACAACCGACCAATTACTATCTTATCTATTTTACAAATACGATGACTCAATTGCTCATTAGAATTTAATTATTTATTTGTTATGATACTTAATACACTTGACAATTTTAAAATTAAAATTAAAACAACTGTAGAAAATTATTTTAAAATTTAATTTGCAATTTTTTAGAGCCTTTATAATTAAACTTTTTATACAATTTCTTCATTAAAAAAAATATCAAATATTTTTTAATTTCTTGGAAATTAAATTAGCTGACATTTAAAAATTTTTTCTAATTTTTTTTCAAATCATTAAATTAAAAAACTTCAGCTAACTTTATTCTTATTTTTTTTTTAATCAAAAAATTATTAGAAAAAAATTAAAAAAAACATAATTAAATTAAAAAACGTCGGCTAACTTTATTTTTTAATTTTTTTGTTGAAAAAATCACTAGAAAAAAAATTTGTAAAAAATCATTCAATTAAAAAACGTTGGCTAACTTTATTTTTAATTTTTTTTTTATTGAAAAAATTATTTAAAAAAATCATATAATTAAAAAACGTCGGCTAACTTTATTTTTAATTTTTTTTAATCAAAAAATTACTAGAAAAAAATTAAAAAAACCTAATTAAATTAAAAAACGTCAGCTAACTTTATTTTTTAATTGTTTATTGAAAAAATTATTAGAAAAAAATTAAAAAAAAAATCATTTAATTAAAAAACGTCAGCTAACTTTATTTTTTAATTTTTTTGTTGAAAAAATCACTAGAAAAAAAATTTGTAAAAAATCATTCAATTAAAAAACGTTGGCTAACTTTATTTTTAATTTTTTTTATTGAAAAAATTAATAGAAAAAAATTTTTTTAAAAACGTCAGCTAACTTTATTTTTAATTGTTTATTAGAAAAATTATTAAGAAAAAATTAAAAAAAAATCATTTAATTAAAAAACGTCAGCTAACTTTATTTTCAATTTTTTTTTATTGAAAAAATTATTAAAAAAAAAATCATTTAATTAAAAAACGTCGGCTAACTTTATTTTTAATTTTTTTTATTGAAAAAATTAATAGAAAAAAATTTTTAAAAAATCATTTAATTAAATAATGTCAGCTAACTTAATTTTTAATTTTTTCTATTGAAAAAATCATTAGAAAAAAATTTAAAAAACAATTAAATTAAAAAAACATCATTTAATTAAAAAATGTGGGATAATTTTATTATTAGACTAATTTTACTGCAATAAATTATTTAACCAAAATTAAGGCAGTAAAAAAATAAATTATACCTTTTCGTGAATCTCAGATGTGGATTGTGCATCGCAAAAAGCGACAGTAGCAACGTCTTTTAAAATTGGCATCTCAATGGAACAGTCTCGTCCGTCAAGCAGAGCAACCAACGGGCGAGTTTGAATGGGCCCATTGGCAATTGGGCCCCTCATAGTATCCATTCGAGGGCGTTTCGTCAACATCTTCCGTTTGTCCATCGGTCAAACAGCCCCCCCTATTTTTAAATCTCTCACTTTGATAGTATATCAAAATAACCCGTATAAAAATGTAACCCACTTATAAAACCAGTGTCTTGTTGAACAAAAAATAAAAAAAAAAAAAAACCACAAATCAACTAAAAATATCCTCTTCTGATGTTTGTTTCATCAAACACCGTGTCAATTATTTAAACATAAAAAAAAAAAAAAAAAAAAACTAAAACTAAAATTATTTAAATTTGCACTTATTAACGTTTATGATTTGTCACACAGATTGTTTTTGCATCACCAATTTATCTTGTATTTCCGTAGGCGAATTGTCGAATCTCCAATACATCACGGATCACGTTGTTTACCGACTCCTGAAACAATTAAAAAAAACGTAAACATTTTATTATTGTTTATTTATTTATTTTATTAAATTTAAATTTTTTAAATAATATTATTATTGTTTAATTATTATTTACATTTATAATACTTAATTCAATATAATTTGTAACTTAAAGATGCTCGAATTAAACCGAGTGGTGAAAGTGAGAAGTGTTGAGCGAAATTTGAGGTTACCTCAACCGCGCCGGCTTCTTATAAACAACTTAGGTGTAATTTTTTAAAAAACTTACATTTATTTTATCATCCAATCAATAAAGCAGCTATAAAATAATTATTTTAAGACAAATATAATTAATTATTGGGATAAATTACAAGATTAATACCGGTAAAACGTCACACACTCACTGTTCCGTATCCAGAGACTACTGGCTGGGGCTAATGTTTTTAGAATTACACGTATACAAGACTGGCGTTGGTCAACGTTAAGATCAATGTTTTTAGGTCATGTTACCATATACATTATAACTATAAACTTATTCATGTCCGATATCTCTTTACACTTACACTTAATTTGATAAGTGGTTTATCAATTAAAATAACGATAAATAATTAAAGGTTGTTGTTATTTTTCGGAGGTTCTGGGAAAAAATCCCCAAGTTTGATAAACTACTCTTGGAAAATAAAGATGGCAATGACTCGTGTACTTGGTGGTGTGTGTGTGTATGTGTGTGTGTGTGTGTGTACCTTTATCTTTATTATTTAGGATAGTTTTCGATTGTAAAAAAACCCGTGCGCGCTTTTGCTGATCGGAAAATGCCGGATTTGCTGACACGTGGCGCCATCCTATACGCATTCACTGTTATATGTGTGAGTATATTCTATATAGATGATACATTCTATTCATTACTTTACTTATTTCATTATTCCTCAAGCACTTGAAGGTACTTTTATGTTTTTCAGAGTTCGAGTCGCTACTCCCATTAAACGATTAAGCGATAATGGGCAACTGTGCAATTACGTGGCGGTTTAAAATATTATTATTATTATTATTATTATTATTATCATTATTGATAGTAATTTTTAATTTTGATAATAATAATAATCAATGAACAAATTTTTAGTTATTATTATTATTATTATTAATTTTTAAACTTGAATAATGATAATAGTCATCAATGTAAAAATTTTTTAGTTATTATTATTATTATCATCATTATTGATAGTAATTTTTTAATTTTAATAATAATAATGATAATAATAAATTTACAAATTTTTGGTCATTTTTATTATTATTGATATTAATTTTTAAACATTAATAATTATAATATTAATCAATGAACAAATTTTTAGTTATTAATATTATTATTATTATTTATTATTGATGTTAATTTTTGAATTTTAATAATAATAATAATAATAATCAATGTACAAATTTTTAGACATTACTATTATCATTAAAAATTTTTAAAATAACAATAATAACATTGAAATTACTTTGAAGTTATTATTAATTTAACACTTCTTAATAACAATCAATGTAAAAATTTTTAGTCATTTTTATTGTTATAATTATTATTATTATTATAGATATTAATTTTTAAATTTGAATAATAATGATAATAATAATCAATTTACAAATTTTGTAGTCATTATTATTAAAAATTTTTAAATTAATAATAATGATAATAATAAATGTAAATATTGTTTTAATATTATTATTAAAGTTTTAAATTTATAATAATTGTAAAATAATAATAAATTTCTTGTTATTTTTTTTTTTATAGGTTTTGCTTCAATTAACTGGAAAAATATACAATATTTATTGAGTAAGTAAAATATATAATAAAGTTATTTAAAATTAAATAATAATTGATACATTTAAATTTGTTACAGCAACAAAATGGCTATCCTCTATCGACATAATCTTATTATCAGTATAATCCAATGAGTTACTTAAAAATGTAACGGATATTATCGATATGATGTCTTATGAATGAGTTGTATATAAAAAAATTTAAGAAGCTTACAGAAGAAAAAGTAATATTCGAGGAAATTTTGCTGAGCTTATAGAAGTTAAACGTTATATACTTAAACGATATTTTAATTGTTTCATAATAATCTAAGTATACCGATAGTATGATAATTTTTTTTTTTTTTAAATATTAAAATTAGCAGACATTTAATTATTTTAAAAATATTTTTTTTTAATTTTTCAAGAAGAAATAAAATGATATTTTTTATAAGAGATTTCGATTTTTAAATGTTTAGTAATTTTAATATAAATTTTTAAATTGTAAAAAAAAAGTAAGTATATAAAATATCAAAATAATTAATTTGATAATAATTGTTATTATTTTTTATAAAAAAAAATATGTAATAAAAATACATATTCCAGAGAAACTATAAAATCTGATTGGTGGTTGACTCAGCGAGATCTTTCGAACTGGATACTACCGCAGAGTGTGCAAATTCAAGCACTTTGACTTTACTCGGGCACATGTTGTGCCAACTAAGGGAAAACGGAATCCGTATCTCGAAAAAAAGACCAAGATTCGCTAAAAATAATCGAGATAAAGACAAGGAAGGATTAGAGAACACAAAACTGGAGATTAAATTCTCTATCCACAAGAAAACACTCAATTATACGGAAGTGTTGATAAACTATCAGGTAATTTAAAATCGCTGGATTTCAATAAAATAAAATAAAAGAATTAATGGAGTAAGTAGCATAAATAGCGGATGACTATTAAATACCCTAGAAGTTAGTGGATGTAACAGTAGTTTCAATTCAGTCCGTACTTGATCTAGGTGTAGAGTTTTTCCAGGTTGTGTTCCAGGGTGAGAGGTGAGGCAACCAGCATAAAGCCGGTATGTATGAAGAGGGGAGATAGCCGTCCAGTACGAGGGCGAAGTTATCCAATTATTGTCTAACCAGGGAGCAACTTTGCTTCACCAAGTGAGCGAGTGAGAAGCAGGACGAGAGAGCACTCGCTAGTTAGAGTACTCGTATTCGAGGGAAGGCCAGAGCCAGAGCCAGAGCCAGAGTCTACGAGAGATTTCCTCTTCCCTACATCCCATCAGCATTCTGGTACCACCCCTAGCGACAATAAACTCTCAAGTTTGTCTCCAGCACTTGTTTCGTTCCACCAGGTGACATAAACAATATTTCATCAATTAAATTAACAATAATATTTTCTTAAAAGTTTCTTTTGATAGGTAAACTTTGGACGAGTATACATTTAGGATACACGCTGTAAAAATCTTCTATTAGATTTTACTATGGTGCATTGCATTCCTGGACTGATGAAAAATTTTATCAATTTATTTATTTCCCAAAAATATATACAATAATGCTTACAAGTATTTTGAAAAATATATTTAATGGCTTAATTGAAAATAAATATGAAACACAATAATTTATTTTTTTAACAGCTTTTGAATAATCTACAGAGTAGTGTCAAAGTGTTTTGAAATAATTGAAAAAAAAACAAAAAAACTAACGCATAATCTTGTCGAAATACTTTTAAGCGCTACTGTATATATAACTACATATAATCCATATAGAGACAAATGATTATCTGTAGATAGGGTAGGGAAAAAGAGATAGGCCTAATGCCTAGTGATAAACAATAATATTAATTTAATAACTGAGTCACTTTCTCATGAACCTTCCAAGGACCAACTACAATTAAATTTTAACATTTAATACTTGGTTAAGATTAAGATTGTGTTATTTTAGAAACTTATTTGCTTCCGTGTATTTGTTAGCCATTTTTTCATTTTAATCTTATTAATTTCCGCCAATTCTTTATATTCAGTAGGTAAAAGATTAAAATATTTTATAACAACATAATGTAGACTTTTACAATATCTGGTTTTATTGATTTTACATAGTTTTATTTTTTTGTGTCTATATCTTCTATCACAATAATTGTACAAATTAAATTTTAAAATGTCCTATAGTAAACGTACTGCTTAATTCATGACAATTGATAAAATTCATCAGTCTGGTTATAATCCAAGAATGCAACGTAGTATAAAATTTAATATAAAATTTTCCCAGTGCACTTATATACATCGGATGAATATCGGTAGGCCAGTTGGACAACTGGATCCAGCTGAAGATTTAAAACAAAAAGCACCAGTAGTAAAAATATAATAAAAGCAATAAAAATAAAGAGAATAAGGTAAAGTAAAGGTAGAGAGTGGAGGAAGGGTACCGACTACTTAAACTTTGCGGAAAGTTTAGTTTGCCAGCAAAGTTAACTGAGTTTAGTTCTCTCGCAAAAGCAAAACTTTGGTTCTCCTTCTCTCCCTGTACTTTTCAGTCTAGAACTCATTCTCTCATTACTCTTTTCTAAATCGAAAGCGTAATTCTCCGGCCGTTATGGAGACACGTCACGGGAGACCCAAGTCTTTTTTTTTCTTTGTTTTTTTTTCTCATTCTCAATTACAATGTCCTCAACTGAACATAATGACGCCGGGCAGAAAACAAAGACTCTTATGCTGTACTGGCATTAATACTGTGCTGTACGTATGTAATGTAATGTAATGACAGAGCACGTAATACAACAGTGGGGAAAGATTAAGTGTGAAAAACATAAAACGTTTTGTATACGCTGGGTGTACATACTCTTATTTAAGAGTACATAGCAAGCCAGCCAGTACAGCAGGCTGATACTTTGATGGAGTTTGGTTTCTCGTGGTGGAATGGCATCTTGACTCATAGTATAGTTGAGTGTGGCAAGCAATGGCCGGCCCGATCGATGTCCCGGCAACTTCCCACCCTCGACGGTGTAGCTCGTCGTCGTCGTCGTCGTCGTAGTAGTCTCCCTCTTCTACGCTCATTCCATCTCCGTCTCTCCCTCACTCTCTCTTTACACTCGTTACTCTTCTCTCTTCTCTCATCGCTCTTCGCCCTTCTCATATCCTGGCGTGTTCCGCCAACGGCCCCTCCTCAGCCCAGACTCTTCCGCGAAATCCCGGAGAGCTGCTTACCGCTCGATTCTGTTTACAATGGATGCGCTACTCTTCCATTACATCTAACCAACTCATATACACATTTCAATCTTAATTTTCATCTTTATCTGTTCACAGTCTGCCATTAATACTCTTCTCGTGTCGCTGCACTCTCTCTTCAGAGTTTACGTAAAGACGGGAAAGTAGGTAAGCGCACCAACTATATAACGGCCACCAAATAGCCGTAGGGAGATGAATAATAGTGATGACTATCCGTGGTTTAATGTCTTTGAGAGGTTGTCTCAGGTCAGTTAGCTTGGCATTAAGAAGCTGAAATAGCTTCATACGATATACATTATCAACTAAAAAATTCATTTTTTTTTTTTTAGGTATTTAATTGACGATTAATAATACTGAAGTTAGCCGTCAATTTTACAATTTTTTTACAATAACTTGAACAAGTTTTCCCCAAGGACCTTAAGTATAATTTACATTGTTAATATAATATAAATAAATAAAAATTTATCCAAAGAAAAAAATATTTGAATCAAGATAAAAATTCTTGAACCAAAAAAATTGTCTTCAAAATTATTTAACTTGGTTCAATTTTTTTTCTGTGTATAAAAAGAAGCTATAAAATTAGTTACAATATTGGCTCTGTACAGCTTAGACATTCTTGCTTAAATATTAAAAGCAACAAGCTCTAACGGTAACTGAATCTATTATTTAATTGCAATTAATAAATACCACTCAGATGTCACTGTACTGCACCTGAGATGGTAAAAAATGATTAAGAAACTTATTGATTATTGATTACAATACCAATAAAACTTAATTAACACTACTAAAATATTTACAGGAGTTTGGAGTATATAATGTAGTACAACCGAAGAGATAAGATGATTAATTAAATCGCTGGAGGGTGGGAGCACCTGTTACGATCCTCAAGACCAAAGAAACGCTCAATAGAAACAGCGTGGAGTACACTGTAGTTGCGGAAGCATTATCTCCGCCGGATATATTCAACTCTGCCTCTTTCTCGTTAATGTTAATGCTTGCTCTCTGATCCTGATATAACACTCCGGAAGCCTGAGTGATACAATTTATGCTTGATCTCAATATAAGGTCATTTATCCTTCTTATACCGCACCAATGTCACTCGATAGCTTTTATTTATTATTTATTAATCGCTCAAGCTATCGATTAGTCTGTTATTTTATTGGAGATAATTCTGTAATTGTCTAAAAAGTAGTTTGAAGAGGTGAAAATAAATATTAATGAGAATAAGAAAAAAAAGTTCGGTTGAGAATACAGGTCAGTACATTGCTGAATAAGCAGCAACCGTTGTCGTGTTGTCGTTCTGGTGTAGTCACCCGGCGTGGCTGGTTGTTATCGTCGTCAACGTCGACGTCTACGTTGAGTAAATTACGTAAGGCTGTGTATAACTTGAGCTCGTTTGAATACTAAAGGCTTTCCTTCTATCCACTTGCGTTGGCCGGTGTAGTTCTGTTTCACTTGGCTGCAATGAGAGTATGCTAGGCATTATACGGTATACATGCTGATCTAACACATTTGTAAATACTTGAGCGCACGCAACTCTCCTCTCTGTGTATAACAGTACTTGTACTTACATATATATTATACATTCTGAATGCTGAACCGAAGAGAAGAAGAGAGGAACAAACTTGAAACTTGCTTTTATAGTGGGGAGATTCAATGAAGGGTAAAGCGAGTGCGACATTGTGCCACTCAAGTGCCGTTTATTTTGCGTTTAGTTTGGCGAAAGTTACGCAAAGATTTATCCGAGGTCACCATTATCCAGTTTCGAGTTTAAATGAGATCTAGGCTACTTTGCTGTGTATAGAGCAATCTTTTTAACGATCACCATTGCTTTAACCTTTGACCTTTACATTTTCAATATGTATTGATATTTATACACACACACACACACACACACACACACATAATATAACTCTTGTACTAAATACCGAGCAATAAATTTCCAATATATCATTTTTATAAAATAGATTTATGGTTTAGTGGAATTGCTTTTTATTTATTTATTTATTTTACTTCTGGTTTACATTCTATAAAAGTTTATGACACCTACATTAAAGAATAAAAAATTCTTGACTGGTGTGTAAATTAAAATAACTTTTGTCTTCCTTAAAATTTTCTTGGCGCAAAAAATTTGGCTTTTCCGTGTGTGCATAGACACTAGAAAACAATATTAATATTTAATAGGATATGCATCAAGTGAAATAATAATTAGCTAATGCAATATACAAAGTATTAAGTTTTTCTAAAACTATCATTCAATAGATCTAATCCATTTCCTAAAATTCTTGCTTAATAACCTTTTTTTAGAATCAGTAGCTTTTAGATTATTGTTAAATAGATTGGAATATTTTATTGGCACAAAAAACGTATTTTTGGTACTCAAAGTTTTATTAATTTTTGATAAAGTTGTCTGTCTATTTTTATTTATTTTTTTTTTTTTCAGCTCTTTGTGCTGTGTATGAAAATACAAGCTTGGAAAAAAAAGGATATCCAGACTCGGTGGATGTTGATCGAAATGACGCACGTTCTAGAACCGTCCCTGCGAGTTCATTGGTCACCATTTACTTGAAGAGATAAATTGCTAGGCCAGTGAGTCACGTCACTGTAGCTTTAGTCTCTTTACTCTTGACGTGACATATTCAAGAGCGTCATTGTCGGTGTGTGTAATTAACGCAATGGATTGTCACATGTCATCGTAAAATTTATATTGTACCTATATCTTTATATATATATATATATTTAAAGTCTTTGGATCGCCTTGGGCATTTGCACGATAAAAACTCGAAAAACATTTCTATATCATTACAATTATCATTATATTTTTTATCATTATATTAAATAATGACAATTTGTTCTGAGCATTAAATAAAACTGATAATTATTATCAAAATAATTTTTTTTAAAATAATATTTCAATTTTTATCATCAAATTCAAAAACATAATATTGATGACGTGTGCTCCAATGGTACGATCAATTACTACGAAATCATAATAAAAGTAAAAATGCCGACTAAAGAGAATTATTGAGGACAAAGAAGTGGGGATACATATAAATATATATAGCGTAGGGTTTTTCAGGGACAGGTGAAAAACGGTGACGGGATAATGGAGGCTTAGTGACCGTTCGTCCGCGTGCAATTTAAAAGAATAAAAAAGAAAGGCCTCTCTTGGTTGGCGTCTCCCGACTGAGACTGACTCCACCAAACCAAAGCCTCCCTCCTCCATATAATACAGCGGTCTTTACATTAGACCACATAATATATAAAATATAAATATCATTCTTTAACATATATCCATCGCTTTAAAATTATATGGCTTAACTGAGAATGTTAAAATTATTTATGTTTCTGATACTAAATAGTGCAATCTCCAATATGTCTCTTAGCGAGATCTATTTATTTTATTTTAAGTCGTATTTTTTAACAGCTAGGTCATTAACGACTTCTATTTACAATTTCTAATATCTTAGGACATAGTTTATATCTTGTTTAACAGTTTAATGTGTTTTAGGAATGAAATTGTCTTGATGCACTGTTCCTGATTATTTAACCTGTAATAACATTCATGTAACTTTTGTTTGTGGAAAAATAAAAATAAACTTTTCAAAAAAAAAATGCGTATGTCCAGTATCGCAATATATTAAAAGTAGTATTGCTTCTATTCGTCTCAGCTCAACTCCAGACTGTCTTTATTCAGCACAGTATCTTTTTTTCACAGCCTCAAGAAGGCAAATCAATGTAGCTTTGGTGTTTTTTTATCATTTTAAATTTAATAATTTAATTAATTACCTTAATAGAAATTAATAATTCTTAAGAAAAATTCTATATTTTTTTTTAATTATAGTAAGTTGATAAGCACATCATGGATGTCGATTCACACTAAAAATATAATAGATTGTTTTTTATTTAAGGGCTTTATTACTTAGCTATCTAAAAATTTTAAAAACAAAACTCCTTTTGAAAACCAATAAAAGAAACCGAGTATCTTTTTCTTCTCAAGTTAACTCCTCAGCTCCTCCATAGCGTCGTCCATCTCTGGATCGTCCAGCAAGCAAACCCCTCAGTGTGATTCTCTCTCACACTGTGGTACCTTAGTCACGATCTTACAATCTCCATCGTTACGTTCAAATGTCCTGATGTATATACCACACAGGGGCACGCGCACTAAACACGCGTGTACACTTATATTATATTATATACACACGCATATATTAACTCTCTCTCGCATTATTCTGGTGGTGGTCGGTTGTGTCGTTGTATCGTGCTCCTTCTCATGAGTATTATTCGTACAAGCTCGTCGTTTTCATCGTATCGTGGAGAAAGGCGCGCGGAATTTTGCGCGCTCGGTCTATCTACATTTTTTTTAAAGATCCAATGTATCCACCAACAATGTAATATACACACCAAACCACACCACAATAAATATACATGTACTTGTGATAAATCTCTAACCATTAACACCGAGCATAAACTCTCAGTATACTTAAATAATATTAATATTAATACTTAATATAAAAAATTACAGTATAATACTAAAGTTAGCCGACATTTTTAGTTTTTTTTTTTTTTATTTTTTTTTTTTTTTTTTTCAATAATTAAATTAGAACAAAAAAATTTTATAAAAATTTTTTTACAAATTAAATTTTTCAAAAATTTTTTTAATAAGAAAAAATTATAAAATTTTTTTTGTAATAATTTTTTCAATAAGAAAAAATAAAAATTTTTTTGTAATAATTTTTTTAATAAGAAAAAAATTTTAGATGTCAGCTAACTTGATATTAATAATTACTGTCCATTATTCTAGGCTTAAAATTAATATATATAAAATTAATATTGCTGTGGGAAACAACAAATACCAACCTGTCGGGGTGTAATAGCCGGTAAATACCTCCAGTACTGCTATTGAAGATGATGATGCTTGTGAAGATGAATATTACTTATATATTATTTAAAAACCAAAGTAATAATACACATATATGTGTGTAAATATATGTATATATATGTTGGAACACCGCGTCACTTGCAATATCACAATATTCACTCACACGGGACACGGCGTTGTTCCCTCCCGGCGTATAAAGCCGCCGCCACTAGTTTTCTCTCTCTCGCTCTGGTACTTTGGTCAGCTCGCTGCTGGATACACCTCACCAGACTTACTCAGCAATGGAATACTCGTTAGCTTACTGCCGATATTTAACGGCTAGTAATTATTTGTATTAATGGGTCCTGGGCTGTCAAGCACAAGCCCGACACCCTAAAACACCGCTTTTAACTTGAACGATATGCGAGCGAAAACGCGTTAGATTCCTCCAACTACTGATGCCTCGCGACTCTCTCCCTCACTGGAGGAAAATGGCGGCCCCCGGACGCCCGAGTGACTCGCGCGCGCCACCGATTTTGCCCGTCTCAGACCGAGTCTCAGCGGTTATTCCCGACTTACACCGACAATTATTTTATAATTATTTAGATTTTAAAGATAATACCTCGGGATTTTTTAAACAGCTGTCACTTTCAAGCCGGATTTTTCTTTAAAAAGGTAAATTTTATTTTTGGTTATTTACTTAACTTCACTCGCACGCTTTATGGAATATTGGCTGTCGATTGTCGATGATAATAATGGAGGCCATTTGTCGATAGACGATTATCGTTTGTTGCGAGATTTTTCTACAAGTATCGATACTGGCTGATCATACTGAAGTTAGCTGACAGCTGTCAATTTTTTTTTTTATACTCAATTCAATTACAATAAAAAAATACTTAAAAAAATTTTTACTAATGATTTTTCTGTTATTTTCACTTGTAGAATTTTTTTTTATATTTATTTTATTATTATTAAATTTAAAAAAAATTTTTCTCAGTTAACTTCAGTGTCTACTTGCTGATAAAAAAGCGCCTCGATTGATCGATATCACTCTACGAGATATATACTTATCTCGCACTTTACAGCGCGAAACGAAAATAAAGACACGGAATACATATAAATATCGATAAGAATGTAATTTTAAGTCATATTTGATGATTTAGAATAATTAAATCGGGATTGAGTAAATAAATAGAATTAATAAGCACCTAAAATCATCGAGAATAATCTCAACAAAGTAGTTCAAAGAGAATAAAGTATATATAGTGTGTGTGTGTGTTTCAAGTGGAGAAGTAACCTTACCGACGTTTGCCTATCCATTTATCCGCTTATTCATTCACTTATTTATTTATCCAAGATATGGCGCTATGATCGATATTTTTAGAAAAAATACAAAATTGAGTCCGTCGCTATTAGTGATCGAGAAATAAAATCTAGCCCACGAGGAAATTATCCAAAGTCTATCTACTAATAATTAGGTCAAATTAACAATTTTTATTTAAATGGAGATTTAATTTATTAAAAGGAAAATTTATTTAAGAATGACTAGAGAGAGTTTCCAAATAATAAACAAATTAAAAGTTGTTTAATAAAAGAAAATATATTAATTTTAGTTTATTAAAAGTTCTTAAAATTATTTAAAAGTTATTCAGTGTTCGAACAAACATAGTTAAATTCTTAAGTTCTAAATGAATTACAGGTAAGTATAAATTGAATACAGGTTCGTATAAATTAACGATCATTAATTTTTATCTAATATTATGCCTAAACTATATTATTAATATTATACTTATTAGGGTGGCACAAAAAACCGACTATTTTTTTTTTTTTTTTTTTTTTTTTTTTTTTTAAGTTTCTAGTGAAAAAATGTTAGTTTTTGATGTTTTAAGAGTTCTCTCCAAAGGACAGATTAAAAAAAATCTAGAAAACGGTTGACCCTAAAGGCCATTCCTGCAACTTCCCGCCAATTCCACATCTAAACGCTTGAAATTGCACTTATGACGTTTCTGAGCTCTTCGAGCTCAAAAATAAAATTTGTGTGTTATTTTGAGCTCTTCGAGCTCAAAGAATTACCTCTTGTATGCTATAGAGCTCTTCGAGCTCAAAAGCCTGATAGCTGAACATTATCTTGAACCTCTTCAGCAATGCTCTTGATGCGTTTCATTTCAGCTTCCAGATGATTAATAAGTATCGGGGAGGTGATATCATAACGTTCCTTAGCAATAGCGGCGTCGACGTTTGCGTTGGCGGATGCGGCCACTGCCACTTCGAAGATGTCCAACCGTGTCCAATCGCCTCTTGAATAAAATTACACAGCGATAAACTCAAGTTACATTTGGCTCTGGCCACATCAGAACGGGGGCAAGTGTCCGGGAAAGGAGCATGTGAAAATACATAGCCACTAGTGGCTGACTTTTCCGTCATCATGCTGATGAACCCATGTCGGTCATAATTTGTACCACGCCTGGTGTTGTAATTTTCAATTGCCGCAATAACTCTTGGTGTCCAAGTAATGAGTCTTTCACGTACAGCCCTGCATTCATCACAGCCCTCGTGAATTGTCACTAAAAATCTAAAAAAAGGATAATTAATATGTAAATAAAAACTATATATTTTATAAATAATGACACCATTGACGTACCTCGAAAAGGCAGGGGATCTACCATTTTAAAATATAACATTGTATCAAAATTACAGGGAACTTATATGTTTTATTCACCTTAACAAAAAAAGTCCGGATTCTTTTGTTAAGATTTAATACTTTGTTTTACGTTACAGCTCTTAGCCAGATTATTTTATACTTGTTACAATATATAGAAATTTTTAAATCAATTTACAATACTTTATTGTTACTTATTTATTAATATCGCACATAAAAGTACTCCAATCAACTCGTATGTTGATGTATAGTTTTGCGAGTTGTGTGATGTATCGTGAGGTTCAGGAAGAAGGCTGACTAGCTCTTGCAGGGGCGTTTTTTATTGTTGAAAATGTTTGACAGAGTACCAACTTGGGTGTTTAGAAGTACATAATAACAAAATAAACTTGTCGACGATTGTTTACTGTCATCATTTACTATCAATCAGCTGATTAATGTTTGTGTTTATATATTTTTTATAATCCTAAAGTTAGCCGACATTTTCAATTTTTTAATTATTTTTTATTTATTAAATAAAAACTAAAAAATATTGGAAAAAAATTGCACTGATAGTTTTTCAAGTTTTTAATGAACTAAAATATTTTTTTGTAACAATTTTTTCAATAAAAAAAAATTTTTTTAATTTTCAATTGTCGGCTAACTTAATTTTCGTTTTTTTTTTTTTTTGTTTTAAACAAAAAAAATTTGACAGGTTAAGTTTTTTATTTTAATTTAATCATAAGACATTTAATAAATAAATTTTTATTTAAAAAAAATTATAAATAAAATTTTTTTAATTAATTCATTTGTTAAATAAAATAAAAAATTATGTGTCAGCTGATTTTAGTACCATTAATTTAAAAATTGTGAAATGTCTTTTAGAAAATTTTATTATAATAATTAATTTAGCAGATATTTAATAATTTTAAATATTTTATAACAAATAAATTATGGCAAAAAAAAAAAATTGACATTTGGAAATTTTAAGAAATTAAAAATGTAATTTTTTTAAAAGTAATTTTTCCAATCAAATTTGTTTGTTAAAAAAAAAAATTAAAAATTGGCCAAGATTGCTAACTTTAATGTCGTAATTATGAAAATAAATTTAGCAGATATTTTATTATTTTAATAATTTTTTTAACAAATAATGTCAGAAAAAATTAAAAAAAAAAAATTGAGATTTAGAAAATTAAATAAATAAAAAATGCAATTTTTTAGAAATAATTTTTTGGAGCAAATTTATTTATTAAAAAAAAATTAACAAATAGTCAAACAACTGCTATTAATGTCAGTCGTAATTTTATTTAAAAATTTTAAGAATCTATTTTTATTGAAATAATGGTTACAAAATGATAAAAAAAAATTGCACATGTAAAAAACTTCAAAAACTTCAAGTGCAATTTAAAAAAAAATTTTTTTGTTACAATTTAATAATTAAAAAAAAAAATCAAAAAATTTAGAACGTCGGCTAACTTTAATGACATTAAATTTATTGTTATTTTCAGTGTACTTGAATTAGAAAGAGTACCAACGTTGAAAAAAAAAATATATATCAACTTTCCAAGATAATTCACCACCACCATTTATAACACCAGCTGATGAAAACGATGTACTGTATATTGGTACTGTACTAACTATTGGGATTGGGATGGATAATTCATCACAAAACAGTTGCTTGCTAGCTCTTACAATCACCACTAAAATTTTTAAGACGCAGTATACATATGATACGTGTGTGTCATTGATGTGTGTGTAGAGTTTTGAGCTTGGAGCTTCAAGGCCTATTAATTATTTTCTTTATCTGTTTTCCCACTGACTAATTTTGTTCCAATAGCTCCAATTATAAACACCGTGTATTTAAATTTTAGCAACTCATCGCAATCAACTTGCGATGATTGAATAGTATAAAATGGTGATTTAGAATTTTAGCTACGAGATATTTTTTTTCAAGGTTTATTTTTATTCTGCTGTCATCAAAACTCGGAAAATGTCGGACATAAAAAGTATGGAGCACCCCACTTTGAAGGTAAAAAAGTCAAGTTTTTATTTTTTATTTACAATTTTATTTTAAATAAAATAAAAATGTGCAGGTGCCGTACGAGCTGCTGAACAAAAAGTTCCGATCTACGCAAAAAGTGCTGGATCGTGAGGTATCACATGTGCAGATAGCTGCTAATGAATTGGAGAAAGGAATTAATAATAATAATGGGCATGCAACAACGGGAGAAATAAGTCGTTTATTAGGTGGTGTTGTTGCGAAATTACAAGTATTGAAGAGAAAGGCTGAAGAATCTATTTCTGAAGAGCTCCAAGCTGGTATGGTTTGCAAGAGACGTTTGGATCATTTGAAGGAGCATGGCAGCTCTTCTCCGAGTGTTGTCAATCAGTGGCGGAGACAAAGGCTTGATAGAATGCTCGTTGAATATTTTTTAAGAAAGGGATATTATAAAACTGCTATGAAGCTTGCTGATACTACTGAGCTTCGAGAGTTGACAAATATTGGTGATTGTTTACTTTTTTTTATTTGTATAGGAGTCTTCTTAATTGATAACTTTTAATTTTTTTTTAATTTTATAACAAATCAATTATAATTCAAAGAATTTAATGATACTGACATTGATAGTTTCAAAAATTCTTTGACAAATAAATTATGGCAGGAATTTATTTTTGAAATTCTATTTTTAGGAGCAGTAAAAAATTATAAATCCAATTTTTTAAAATGTATAATTAAGGAATGACTTGGTATCTTGAAAAATATTGACATTTTTAAAGATATAAGCTCATCCCGATGTTACACTCATTGAGACCTTTCATTTGAGTACCTACATCAATTTTTCATATATTTTATATATTTATATATATTATATATATGAAAAATATATAAAAATTGTCATTTAGGTATACTCAAATGAAAGGTCTCGATGAGTGTAACATCATAATGAGATTATATCTTTAAAAATGTCAATAATTAAGAAATTACCTTGTATCTTGTCAACTTACAGACATTTTTAAAGATATAAGCTCATTATGATGTTACACTCACCAAAAGCTTTCATTTAAGTACCCACATCAATTTTTCATATATTTATATATTTTATATATATATATGTATATATGAAAAATATATCAAAAATGCATGTGGGTACTCCAATGAAAGGTCTTGATGAGTGTAACATTAAAATGAGCTTATATCTTTACAAATGTCAATAATTAAAATATTATATTTTATCTTGTCAACTTATGATATTTTTAAAGATATAAGCTCATCCCAACATGACGCTCATCAAAACCTTTCATTCGAGTACCTACATCAATTTTTCATATATTTATATATTTTATATATATGTATATATGAAAAAAAATATATAAAAAATGCATGTGGGTACTCAAATGAAAGCTCTTAATCCGTGTAACATCATGATGAGCTTATATCTTTAAAAACGTCAATATTTAAGAAAGTACAGCGTAATTTAACAAAAGCCATTATTTAATAAAGCAAAATTTTTATTTTTTTTAGTTCACTAGTATAGTATTATTGCGCATAAATTTTTTACAGTATTTAAATATAATATTATCACAGACAATAAATTAAATTAAAGAATAAAAAATAAATTCTAAGCATTATGAAATAAATATCAGCACTCATTGTTGACTCACTGATAGATTTATCATAAAAATATTCATAAGATAATATTAAAAATAAAGCAACATAACTCTTTTTGGCTTAATACTATCAAGCAATAGATAACATAAATTTATATATTAATGCAGAAGTATATATTAATTATTTTATTTATTTATTGTAGATGTATTTATGGTGTCCCGAGAAGTGGAAATATCTCTGGCAAATCATGAAACAGCCAGATGCTTAGGATGGTGCCATGATAACAGATCAAAGTTGAGAAAATTGGGCAGCACAATGGAGTTTAATTTACGAGTTCAAGAATTTATTGAATTGGTAAGAGCTGACCGCAGACTAGATGCTGTCAAGCACGCTCGTAAGTGCTTCGCAAACTATGACGAGTATCAGCTCCAAGAGATCCAGAGTTGTATGGGCCAGTTGGCCTTCCCTGCGAACCCTTATCTCAGTCCCTACAAAGATTTGCTGGACGAAAAACGATGGGACCGGCTGATCGAACAATTTCGACACGAAAATTACAGATTGTTCCAGTTGGCGAGTCAGAGTGTCTTTACAGTCGCTCTCCAAGCTGGCTTGTCCGCGTTGAAGACTCTTCAGTGCTATGGTGCTAACAAAGAATGTAAAAATCCTAGCTGTCCCGTTTGCAACGAAAATCTTAATGAACTAGCTTCACCTTTACCCTTTGCTCATTGCTCCCAGTCTAGACTTGTATGCAGTATTAGCGGCGAGCCACTTAATGAATATAATCAACCCATGATGATGCCCAATGGATATGTTTACGGTGAAAAGGTACTAATTATCATAATTTCTTTATTATAATTAGGGATTTAATTTTTGCTGCTATTTTAAATAAATTTTGCTTCATTATATAATGATGACTTTCGTTAAACTGCACTGTATTTTCTCAAATATTGACATTTTTAAAGATATAAGCTCATTCTGATGTTACACTCATCAAGAGCTTTCATTTGAGTACCCACATGGCAATTTTTCATATATTTATATATATAATATATCAAAAATATGAAAAATTGATGTGGATATTCAAATGAAAGGTCTTGATGAGTGTAATGTCGGGATGAGCTTATATCTTTAAAAATGTCAATAATTAAGAAAATATATTTTATTTTGTCTACTGATGATATTTTTAAGAATATAAGCTGATCATGATGTAACACTCATTGAGACCTTTCATTTGAGTATCCACATAACGTTTTTATATATTTTTCATATATATATATATATATATATAAATATACAAAATATATGAAAAGTTGATGTGGGTACTCAAATGAAAGGTCTCGATGAGTGTAACATCAGGATGAGCTTATATCTTTGAAAATGTCAATATTTCACAAGATATTATTTTAATTAATAATAATTATTATTATTACAGGCGCTTGAAAAAATGGCACAAGAAAACAACGGAGCAGTAACTTGCCCAAAAACCAAAGAAGTATTTCCATTTAAAAAAATCGAAAAAATTTACGTCATGTAATATAAAGTTCCTAAATTAAAATACACATCGCTGTATTATCTAACAACTTCTTTGAACATTACTATTATTATTATTATTATAATTAATAATTAATAATTAAAAATTATTATTAATATTACTTGAATCTTAACTAATATGTAAGATGTAAAATAATACAATATATTTTTTAATCAAGTTTACTTCTTTTAGTTTTTACGTGACATTGTTTAAGAATAATAAAAAAATAAACAAAATTCATTGATTTATTAAACACAATTTGTAAATTTTAACAGCTTTATTTATATTATATTTATAAATAATTGTGACCAAGTGGGCTCTACTTTCGGTTTGCTATTCATATTTTTTATTATTTAATTATTTAGCATCTAATAATAATTATAATAACATGCATGAGAATTATTTAAATGAAGATATTCACAAATATTTATAAAAATATCCTATGTATGTATAAAGGGTCAACAATATATTTTAAAAATTTGTGAATTCGACGAATTTTTATAATTATTGTCGGCATTGCTTGTTACAAGGATTGTCCATTAATAATAAATTCGGACTTATACTGTGATTTTAATTATTAACAATTATGTTAATTAATTATTCAATTGTTAGATATCCAATATAATTATTATTACTATTAATATTAATTATCAGAGCTGAGAAAAAGAGTGGAATATTTAAACGTTTTAATTTAAATAGTGGAAGTACAAGTTTTTATAGAAGACGATGTCGATTTAATTATTATTAATCTCAAGACAACTAATTAGATTAATATATTAATTAACAGATACTTTGTCACGTAAATATATATTAAAATTTGCACAATAATATAGATACAATTATTTTAAATAATAAATTCATGTAATCTAAATAAATATTTATAAAGAAGAAATATTTCAATTTTATTCTTCGGCAAAAAAAAAAATCAGTCATAAAATTTTTTTTTTAATTACTATTTAGCAAATAATTGCATCTATGACGGATTTTCGTCTGAGAAAATTGTTTGTACATTGTCAATAAATTTATTACTCCTAATTAAATCGCTTACAAATATTTTAAAGTGGTAAAAAAAAATGTGAGTGATTTTGATTACTAAATTCTTAAAGTTAAAATTTTTCTTTCATAGAAAAAATACATCTCTAATATTCAATTAACAATTAAACAATAATTATTATAATATTACTGTATAACATTGAATATTAGTATATAGTAATTAAATGACAAAATAAAACGAGCGATTGTAGGTAAAAAAATCTAATAAATACAAAAGGAGCCTTTTTTTTCTCGTAAATGTACACATAAAAAATTGATTAGATTAAAGTATACATATTCAGATATATAATTATTAAAAAGCATGTGCTTGGATTAAAAGCGGCTTTAGATTTTATATTAATATAAAACAACTTAGTATTTACTCAAGGCTTATTGGTCCGAGTTAATGAGTTGGAACGGTGGGCTGAATTTATTCACCGTACGTCAAGTAAGTACAAAAAAAAATTATTTTAATGCCATTTTTAATGTAAACGGTATTTAAAAGGCATTATGGTCGAGATTATTTCTGAAAATGAACCATTTAATTTTTTAAGCTACACCTACTGAGTCTTCAATGTAATCATTTTTTTTTTCTTTTTAATAGTTAGTATTAATTACAATAATTAATCAATTTTTTGATCGAAAAAAAAATTGCGGTAATTATTTACAAGTTGGGTCCATCCTATTTTTGACCATAATTAGGTAAAAAATTAATATTTAAAATTTTTTTTTTTTGCTTGCTTTTATGGCGCATTTATGATAAAAAATGTGAAAAAAATAAATTTTTTTTTCAATTATTCAATTTTTTAATATATTAAAAAAAATATATCAATAAAATCAAATAGAAATTTTGTTCAAAAAAATGAAAATTAAAATTGTTGACCGCACTTGTAAATAATTACCATAATTTTTTTTAAACAGTTAATATTAATTACAATAATTAATTACTCCTTTGATTAGGAAAAAAAAAAAAAAAAAAAAAAAAAAAAAAATACCAGCTCTATGATTAAAAAGAAATATATTAAAATCTAATTATAAAGATGAATAAAAAAATGTTAAAATTAATTACGTAATTCTTAAAAAATAATCTAAAAAATTAAACCGTGTATTATTAGATTACTCATTTAAATTCTTACTTCAGTCATCCGTCAACGAATTTAGTGAGTATTAATTTAAACACAAGGGTGAACAAAGCCCTTAATCATTCCCATACGCGCATAGAAACAATGTAGGGCATAACTATGGCGGTAAGAACGCCAGTGAAGATTCCAGTGATGAGAAACGCTGCTCCAAACATCCCCGCAGTGGATGCATATCGAGAATCAACCGTTCTATAAATAAATATGTCGTTAAGTATTTCCTGTCGCTGTAGTTTTAATAAAAGCAAGCTTAATAAAATAAATAAGTTGTATACTTACGAGGGACAGTACATCATACCAAGCGAGGAGAGATACCCGCTGCTTACTCCCATCAATACGGCTATTGCGAAATAAACCCAGTCGTTTGTTATCAACACCGGCATTGTCCGGGTAAATTCTTTCGCGGGTACATAATTACACACTAAAAATAGTGGGATAAATAGCACTCGCAGTACCACTGGTAGTACCAGACACTCTTTCTTCGGCTGAAAAATTTATCAAGTACATTTATTTTATAGAATGTTTACCAGAAGTTAAATAAGTAAATAAATAAAATAAAAATTTCGCTTTATCTTAATGGTTTATGTCTATTGATAGTAAATTATTTAAATGTCAACAACTTACCCATTGAACATGCGAGGCTAGCAAGCTACCGATCATAGCTGTTACATTGAAAGTTACAAAGCACATTACGCTCATATAGTATTTTTCAGACACTATGAAATTTTCATCTGAAGCTTTGATACTAGATTGGACTGCTGGAAATAGACTCAAGGTAACGAAGAACACGAAGAATATATTAAATAGTTGGGGAGAAGCTTGTTTGAATATTGTCCAGTAAGGTGTTCTTCCATGAATTTTTGATTTTGTTTCCAACTCTTTTTTTTGCTTGTCTTTTTGGAATATCATTTCGTGATACCGATAGAATCTCTGTAATAATTTAATTTTTAATTTAATTTAAAACAAAGTAAGTAAAATTTTTGTATTATTATACTTACATTTATTGGGAGTGCGAAATATGTATCAAAACATGCTAATAGCACAAAAAGTGCTGTTAGGAAATAATAAATTGCTGCGGTTCGCAAACTTGGGGCCATTTTTAAAGCCAGTAAATCTACTAAGGCTGTAAAGGTACCACTGATGTTCTAAAAAATAAATATTTATTAAATAATTACAATTTAATTATCTGACATCTAAAAATTAAAAAAAAAAAAAAATTTTTTTTATTGAAAAATTTCAGAATTAAAAAATTTATAATTTAAGGCATGTACTAATTGTTGTATAATGCCGATTGGCGTTCAAATAATGATAATAAATAAATAAAATAATAAAGGAAAAATTTGAAAAATCTTAGGTGTAATTTTTAAAAAAGTTTTTTTAATTTTAATTTAATAAATAAAAAAAATTATTGAACGTCGGCTAGTTTTAGTATCATTTTTAATTAAATATTATTATTTTAGAATAACTTGGAGAAAATAAAACTTACAGATCCTAATACAACAGCACCAGTATACTTTCCAGGTAATTTAGCTGCCATACCGTACACAGAGTTTTGATAAATTCCATTGAAAGCTGTAAATTATAAATTAAATTGTAAATTTGAAGTATTAATATAATAAATAATAATAATAATAATAATAATAACTTACTATTTAAAACAACGACAGAGATCATTGTAATCCAGAAAAATACACCTGGCCAAGTAGAAGTATCCAACATAGCCAAAACAACTGTTTCGACGAATATCAATACTTGTACCAGAATTCCCCAGACAATTCTCGTAGTCAAATCTCCACTAAAAATATCAATATTAATTAATATAAATGTTAATTTTAATTCCGTTCTGCAATCGCAGAACGGATTAGTTTTTTTTTTTTAATAATTACCCAAGAGGCATAAAAAGATTAATCCAATTGAAGATAACATTGGGAATTTGTGCAGAGAAGCTAACACTGTTGACATAATTGCTTGCATAAGTTGTGTTTTCAACCGTGTAGTTGCTTGAAAACTTGTAGTTTTCAAAATACTGAAATTACAAATTCAGCATTTATTGTTAAGAGATAACAATGTTATCTACACGGAAAGAACAAGATTATACTGGATATAATCCCAGATTATACTGAGTGAAAAAAAAAATTTCAAATAGTAGCTAGTATAATCCAGATAACAATGAGTATAATCCAGATTACAATGAGTATAATCCAGATATTATTCAGTATAATCTGGATTATACTAGCTACCATCTGAAAATTTTTTTCGCCTTAGATGTCACTGAGTATAATCTGAGATGGTATCCAGTGTCATTTTGTTCTTTCCGTGTAGTAAATGATTCACTTACATTCCTGGCAGTGATGAACATATTCCAAGGCATAAGGGTCCCAATACCATGAAGTACCATGATTAAAAATACTATGTTCAATTTATCCTTTGGAGGATTCAATTCCAGGTCAACTTGGTCCATTGTAACGCTTCTGAAATTTAATTCGTCGTCTGGTTTGTCTGTGCTTTCCCAGCCGGGAGATAATCTAACTGGTTCTGTGGTATAAAAATAAAAATTTTTAAAATATTATATATATTTTTAAAAATAAAAAATCAAGCAGTCACTTGACAATTTTTTAATTTTTTTTTACCAAAAAAATTATTTAAAAAAAAATTGCATTTTTAATGTTTTTTAAAATTTCTACATGTTAATTTGTTTTTCTTATTTTTTTGTCACAATTTTGACAATTTTTTAACTTCATTTAATAAAAAAATTTTTTCTAAAAAATTATTAAAAAAAAAATTGAATTGTTAATTTTTTAAAAATTTTTGCATGCCAATTTTTTTTTTTTTTAATTTTTAAAATGATCAAATATCAGCTAAATTAATTTTTATATATATTCAGCAGCTTTAATTTATTTTTTATAATTAAAACAAATTCATTTAAATTGAATTAAGTTATAAAAGGATTATAATGTGGTTGGATGAGTTCAATTTACAGATTTAATGCTGACAATCAGAAATTAGAGCTTAGCCGGCTCGCATAATTGACCTTACAGTCCACAATCAAAGGTTACAATATATTTATTTATTAAAAATAAATAAAAAAAATTTTTCTGTAATAGTTGAGTTAAATATTTTTACCGGTATATCTAAAGAGTAATAAAATCCAAATTTACTCACTTAAAATGTAATTATCGTAAATGATAAAAAAAAAAAAATACAAATGAGTTAGTGATAAGATAACACGTGGCCATACCTTTAGTAAATTAAAACCAAGGGGTGTAAAATAATTATATTTTTCTGAAGATTAAAACTACGAAGAAGCCAACTTGGCACTGGATCAAAAAAAGTAACAAACTAAAAGACTTGTTTTAAGAGTAAAAAGAATTCAAGCATTGAATGTTGTTTGAAAAGAGTATAGATGCATTCTTGAGACCACGAGGTTTTACCGTGAATAAAAGAGAGTCAAAAAAACCTCTAAGAAATAAAATAAAAAAATAAATATTCACAAAAAAAAATTAATCTTTACCTCTGACGACTATTTTTCTTGTGGTCAGCTCATTGATGAGACTTTGGTCTTCAATTCCAGCTCTAAAATCCCTCTGTTTATATGTACCAGCCATTTTAACTTGTTTTGTAACTACTTGTGAGTTATTTAACGCAATGCTGTTAATTAAATAATTAAAAATTAGCTTTGTAAATAAATTTTAAAAATCTAGCGGGAATATCTTACTCATGAGAAGAAAATAGCCCAGGTTTATTTATCCTCAAAAAATTATTGAATAATCCACGTGTTATAAATAGTTGCCAAGATGTACAGCTTGAGTATCAATTAAAAATAATTATTTAAAATAAAACTTGTTAAATTACGCTTTTAATTTAGAAGTTTAAATGGTTGTTACAGCGGAAAACATTATTGTGATACTGAAAAATATTTTAGCTCCATTGAACAGACATCTGAGAGTTGTTCTCAGTTTCTCACCCCACCATTATTTTTAGGTTAGCGATAACAGCATGCGGTAGCCAATGAAATTATTATAACGAACTTTGTCGAGTTATTACGATTATAATCGACATTACTTACTTATTTATTATTGTTATTATTATTATTATTTTACAGCCTGTACGCATTGTTGAACATGTCGGCGTAGGTGGCATGTATTATATGTGTAAATTTAATCATAATAATAAATGAAAATGAAGTTAGCTGACATTTAAAAATTTTTAGAAATTTTTTATTGAAAAAATTAAAAAAAAAAAAATATCACATGTTAAAAACTTTAAAAACTATAAGTGCAATTTTTTATAATGAAATTTTTAGTTGTAATTTAATTAGAAAAAAAAATTATTTTACAGCCTGTACGCATTGTTGAACATGTCGGCGTAGGTGGCATGTATTATATGTGTAAATTTAATCATAATAATAAATGAAAATGAAGTTAGCTGACATTTAAAAATTTTTAGAAATTTTTTATTGAAAAAATTAAAAAAAAAAAAAAATATCACATGTTAAAAACTTTAAAAACTATAAGTGCAATTTTTTATAATGAAATTTTTAGTTGTAATTTAATTAGAAAAAAAAATCAAAAATTTTTAAACCTCTGCTAACTTCAGTTATAATAATAAAGTTAGCCGACATTTTTAATTTGTTTATTTTGCTTAATTTATTAAATTATAATTATAATAATATTTCTAAAAAATTGCACTTATAGTTTTTCAAGTTTTTAACAAATGCAAATTTTTTTTTTTTTTAATAATTCTTCAATAAAAATTTTTAAATGGCTAACTTTATTTTTATAATTTAATCATACTGAAGTTAGCCATCAGCTGTCAATTTAAAAAATTTTAACAAATCAATTACAATAAAAAAAAAATTTTCACTTGTAATTTTAAAGAATTTTCACACGTGGAATTTTTTAATTAATTTTTTTAAATAAATAATTTAATTGCAAAAAAATTTTTAATATCTGTCAACTTCAGTGTCATGTAAATTAAATAGTACCAATGAACAATAGATCGCCGCATTCTCAACGACGCAAATATATATATATATATATAAAGCTGTCTTCTTTTTTTTCACTCCACAATTGTTGTCGTTGGAATTAATTACTCCAAAAAAAAAAATTAATTTAATGGCTAAAAAAAATAAATTAATAATTAAAAAAATATATTTTTTATTTATAAAAATAACATAGAGTATTAACAATTGTTAATCAATGATGTATGATGAAAAAAAAAGCAGGAAACAGCGAATAGCATCATCTCCCGCCGTTAGGATCGGAGCGAGACCGACGCTAGAGCCAACATGGCGGCGCAACAAATAATCTCTTGTCTGCCAGTGTGAATGCTGTTAAAAAAGATTTTATTATTGCATTTTAAAATGTAATTTAGATTTATTTACTTTTTTATTTATTATTACGTGTCAAATTTATTAATTAAGGTATTTAAATAATTTTATTATTATTATTTTTTTTTACAGATACTGTGAATTAGTGAACGTGACGAGTTTGAATTTTTCCCATCGCAGATTCGGCTAATATATATGTGTCATATAGAAATATATACCCACATATGTGTATATGTATGTGGAAAAACACGTTAATGTATTTTAAATATTAATATTAAATGCAAACATGCTTTTTATTTTTACAGACTCTATTAAAATAAATATGTTATGCTTTGCATCGTGAAACAGTGTTGATTGTTTTTATTAACTGACGGATTATGTCGTCGATACAGAGTAAAATGCGAGGTAAAATATATTAGATAATGGGTTAACCTATATCTTTCTTTTTTAATATTTATTTTTATTAAAATTTTGAGTAATAAAATATTTTTATTTTTTGGAGTTAAAAATTGATTTATTTTTATTTTTTTGTTTTAGGTCGCCCGCCGAAATCCAAGAACTCGTGCACTTGGTGCAACGAGACTAAGCAGCCTCTGAAGTACGTCCTGCCTACCCAACACGGAAAGAAAGAATTTTGCTCCGAGTCGTGTTTATCTGCCTTTAGAAAAGCTTATGTCAGAGGAGCTTGTGTCGGGTGTGATAATGTCATAAGAGGTTCCCCGATAAAATTGGAGCAAAAAGATGGCCCAACCAAAGATTTCTGTTCTCCGTTTTGTCTTAACAAACACAAAACGAAGGAAATTCAAGCTGAAGCCAAGAAAAGTATTTATTTTTTTAAATTATGAGTTAATTATTGTAAAAAAAAATTGACGGAAATTTTTAAAAATTATAAATGCAATTTTTTAGAAAAGATTTATTTGTTAAATAAAATTATCAATTGTTAACTCTAATAGAATTTATCAACAATTAATTATTAATAGACAGTCAATTTTTTTTTTATATTTAAGAAACTTAAAAATAAATTTTTAAGTGTCCAGGCTATAAAAATTAAGTTAGCCGATATATAAACATTTTTAGAACTTTTCTTTTATTGAAAATATTATTACAAAAAAATAGAAAATAAAATTTAATTTGTAAAAAAAACTTGAAAAACTGTAAGTGCAATTTTAAAAAAATAGTTTTTTATTACAATTTAATTATTGAAAAAAAAAATTTCATTTGTAAAAACTGTAAGTGTAATTTAAAAAAATATTCTTTTGTTCTAATTTAATTATTAAAAAAATTAAAAATGTCGGCTAACTTTAGTACTATGTCCAAGTTTTCCTCTCCAATGTCAAAAAACACATTTAGAAATATTAATAATAAATTATTTTTGTTTAATTTTCGAGCTATAATTTAAAATTACAAATTAATTATTTACAATTTATAATTTAAAGAATATCTTAATAGATAGATACATTTATTGTTTTTTTAAAGGTACACTTTAAATTATAATAGAGTTCAGATTTTATATAAACATATCATAAAATTGTAGAGGAAAGAATGAAAATAATATTTGAAATCTAATTCTGAATCAAATTATTATTTTCACAGTTAGTTAATTAATATTGCATAGAACTCGCAAATATATTCAGGTTTCCTCTGAATAAAATATCGTTTAAAATTTGTGTCCAAAAGTTAAGAATAACTCGATAGATAATGCCGATTGGCATTTATACCAATAAATGAATAAATAAATAAATAAATAAAATTTCAGCCACGAATGAGCAGCCATCACCAGCAGCATCTCCAGCTCCCTCAGGACTACCCAGCAGTAGTGGAACAATACCTCAATCCTTCACCACAAATGGAGCAAGTAGTTCACCAACCAACAACACCAACAGTCCTCCTATAAACAACACCAGTACCAATAGTAATAATAATAATAATAACAATAACAATAACAACAATATTAATACTAATAGGAGCACTCCAGCAACCCCAACAATAACCACCTCAACAACGAACAACCAATCAAACATATCCCTCGCGCCTTCAACGTCCACCGGCCCGTTCCAATACGAGACTTACCAGACCTTTGACTGGGACCTCTACCTAAAAGAAACCAACAGCTCAGCAGCGCCAGCTGACTGCTTCAAGCAGCACGTGACTCCCTCAATCAACGACTTCAAAATAGGAATGAAGCTCGAGGCATTGGACCCCAGGAACCTGACATCAACCTGCATAGCAACCGTAGTCGGAGTCCTGGGTCCTAGGTTGCGACTGCGTTTAGACGGTTCGGACAACAAGAACGACTTCTGGCGGCTGGTGGACAGCAACGAGATCCACCCGATAGGTCACTGCGAGAAATCAGGAGGGATGCTCCAGCCGCCGCTGGGCTTCCGGATGAACGCATCCAGCTGGCCGATGTTCTTACTCAAGACGTTGAACGGAGCCGAGATGGCTCCGGCGAAGGTGTTCAAGCGCGAGCCCAAGACTCCCAAGACAAACATGTTCGAAGTCGGGCACAAGCTGGAGGCGATTGACAAGAAAAATCCCCAGCTTATTTGCACTGCGACAGTGGGAGCAGTTAAGGACGACATGATCCACATAACCTTCGACGGCTGGCGCGGCGCCTTTGATTACTGGTGCAAGTACGACTCCAGGGACATCTTCCCCGTAGGCTGGTGCTTTAAAAGCGGCCATCCGCTCCAGCCGCCGCGCCAGAAAGCCACTGGCCAGAATAGATTCAAGTCTAGGACGAGCAATGTGCTTCCGGTGATGGCTGTGTCTGGAAGCGGAGCTAATGGAGAGCCAGCTGTTGCTCTGGTGAGTCCAGCTGGCTCCAGTGCTCCTCCGCAGCCCGCTACTGAGCCAGACACTAGCACTACTAGTGTCAACAACAAACCGCATGTTCTTGAAAATGTTACTCTGTTTGTCAACTCCAATTGCTCCTGCGGGCCTTATTTAGACTCCAAGAAGGTCAAGACCTTGCCGGCGAAGTTTGGGAGTGATAGTGTCTTAAACGTCGCCCGAGACGTCTTCCAGAGCTTCTTGATAGTTGCGCTGAACCCCAGACAAATTTTGAGCTTACTTAAGCGCGGAGAGGGAGACTGCGTTAACTTGGTGGTAGAATCCAAGGCCATGTCGGTAAGACTCCCGGTTTTTATTGATGAACAGGACTTCTACTCGTTTATCAGGCGCCAGCTAGAAGACCTGTGCGCTTGTGAGCATTTGCTGTCCAAGCGACAGGAGCTCTGTGAAAAATGCCCGCTTCAGCAGACCATGATCAAGCGAGAGGAAAATAGCAATACTGCTCCGGAAAAAAGAAGGTGGTCGGCTGATAAACCGCAAGCTGCTCCTCAGCAGCAGGCACAACCTCAACCGGCTCAGCAGAAAATTCAAGTTGCTTTGAATGCTACGGGGACTACTAGTATTGACTCTACTCAGCCTACACCTCCTCCTGCTAAACATCCCAGGATATCAACAGGTATTTTGGTGTTTAATATTTGATTTTTTTTTTTTTATTGGGGGTTATTGATGTTTTTTTGGTACAGAGTTGGAGGCTGCGTCTTCGACGACCAGGTGTGAGAGTTCTACGTCACGGATTTCGTCTTCGGAACCTGCTGAGTGGACTATTGAGGATGTTATTCATTATATTGGAGTTGTTGATCCTGTTCTGGGGCAACATGCTGATCTTTTTCGTAAACATGTAAGTTTGTTTATTTATTTTATAAATTTTCATAATAATTACTTTTGTTAAATTGCACTATACTTTCTTAATTATTGACATTTTTTAAGATATAAGCTCATTATGATGTTACACGCATCAAGAGCTTTCATTTGAGTACCCACATGCATTTTTGATATATACATATATATATATATATATAAATATATGAAAAATTGATGTGGGTACTCAAATGAAAGGTCTCGATAAGTGTAATGTCGGGGTGAGCTTATATCTTTAAAAATGATAATAGTTGAGAAGATACAAGGTCATTTCTTAATTATTGACATTTTTAAAAATATAAGCTCATCCCAATGTTACACTCATCGAGACCTTTCATTTAAGTACCCACATGGCAATTTTCATATATTTTATATATATGGTATTTGTGGAATATATAAATATATGAAAAATTGATGTGGCTACTCAAATGAAAGGTCTCGATGAGTGTAACATCAAGATGAGCTTATATCATTAAAAATGTCAATACTTGACAAGATACAAGCTCATTTCTTAATTATTGACATTATTAAAGATATAAGCTCATCCTAATGTTACACTTATCGAGACCTTTCATTTGACTACCCACATGCATTTTTGATATATTTTTCATATATACATATATATGTCATATATATAAATATATCAAATATATGAAAAATTAATGTGGGTATTCAAATGAAAGGTCTCAACGCGTGTAACATTAGGATGAGCTTATAGTTCACAAGATACAAGGTCATTTCTTATTTATGTGTCTAGGATAGGTAATTTTTCTTATTCTCTTAATAATACAGATTAATTTTTTAATTAATTATTTATTATTTTTTTAACAGGAAATTGACGGCAAAGCTTTGCTGCTTCTGAACTCAGACATGATGATGAAGTACATGGGTTTAAAATTGGGACCTGCATTGAAAATATGTAATTTAGTTAATCGTATCAAAGGTCGAAGGCATGTGATGCTTTGACTTTCTCAAACGTCAGTATAAAAAAAAAATAAAAATCACCTTTAAATATTTTACAATAACAAATAAGCTTACACAAATCCATTGGTGTACAATATATATTTTTTGGATTAAAACCGTCAGTTAAATTGACCAAATGTACAAAAAAAAGAAAAAAAAAAAAAAAATTACAATGAAATCATTTAAGGAAAAATTAAAATCAAATTTATAGTTAATCCTCAGCACTTCCTTTTAATAATTAATATCTTTAAATCACGTACATTTTAAAGTAGCGTAATTAAATATTTAATTATGGAAGTTTATCTTTATTATTTAATAATTAAACTATTTGATGTGTTAAAGGTATTGAGCTTGATAAATTACTAATCAATTTTTCTTAAAAAAATTTTTTTCAACAACTTCTGGTCTTGATAATTTAAATAGTGATCAATTTTTCATTTGCAATATCACTAGCCGATTTATATTATGTATTTGTAATATATACATTTATATATATTAGTTTCTAATCAAATCATTTAATGCCTGTAAATAATTAGAATTAATTATTGAGGAAAAAAAAATCAATAAATTTAACAATTTAATTATAAATAGATATTGTGATAGCTTCACTCAGAGATTTGGTAATATATCTTTTAATTTTGTTTTTTTTTTTAATAATTGTAAAATAAAAAAAAAATCCCTGCACATAAATTTTGAATTTCTTGAGTTAATTTTTTTTTATTTCGTTCTTTTGTATATAAATTCTCGCTGTGAAAAATTAAACAATGTACTTTGGTATACTTAGTCATGTCTCTGGAACATGAATCGTTACTATTGATTGTAATAATTAAATCAAGTCGAAATTTAAAAATAATTATTGTCAAGGAATAATTAAACATAATTGTTATAAGTGATGATTTTTTGATGGGAAAAATTAGAGGAAAAAAAATTCTCTGCTGTTATAAATAAATTACTGAAAATAAAAAAAAATAATAATTATTTTTACGGCAAATAAAATTTATTAGCAATGCCGTATATAGTATTTTGATTATTAAATTATATAAAACATATGTGTAACACCTAATTGTAATATAAAATTATTAAAAGATTTATTATTTTTTTTTTACTTACACTACTTTTGTTTTAAAATTATTGTACAATATGATAAATTGATAAATAATAATACAATAAAAATAAATAATTGAAAGCATGTAGCGATAATAAAAATAACATTATTGAAAATTAATACTTTTATTAATAATTTTATTTATATTTATATTTATATATATTTCTTTATGTATATTTATTTATATAATTTATAAATTATGCTTGCAATAATTTCAAAAGGTGCTAAACAGATCTCAGTAATAGTATTAATTAATAATAAATGTACAAATTATTTTATTTTAATCCACCATAAAATAATATTTAATTAATACACGCAAGAACAAGATGATACTGGATATTATCCCAGGTTATACTGAGTAAAAAAATTTTTAGATAGTAGCTAGTATAATCCAGATAACACTGAGTATAATCCAGATTATAGTGAGTATAATCCAGATATCACGCATTAAAATCTGGATTTTTTTTAGCTACTATCTGAAATTTTTTTTTTTACCCAATATCCCAGATTGTGTTAAGTAAAAAAAAAATGTTAGATAGTAGCTAGTATAATCTGGGATTATATCCAGTATCATCTTGTTTTTTCCGTGTACGCACTTTATTATCATTACTTCCATCACATTCATATATTTTTTTTTCCAAACCAAGTTAATTGCTTCATAATAAATTTAATTATTTTTTTTTTAAACTTATTTTATAAAAAAATAAAATTCTACTGAGCATTTTTTTTTAAGCTTGTAAAAATTATAAATGACAAATCCTGCGTTGTTTAAAATAATTTATAGATTTTTAGTGTAAATTAAGTATTTAATATTGCTAAAATTTTTTAGATTACAGAAACTAAAATTAAAAATATTTGTCATGGCTCCATTCATTATCTCAACAATACGTCATTATTTTAGACTGTTTTTATTTTTAATTTAACAATTAATAGCAATTTTAAATGACTCTTATTCAATAGATAAATTACGAAAACCTCTCAGAAAAATTAAAGTAGCACCTGAAGATGATTGATGGTCTACTATTGATATTGAAATAATTTATTACAAGATTTATGTATAGTAAAAATTAAAAATAATAAAAATTACGTAATTTTTATAATTAATTAATGAAAACATATGTAAAAGTAGTATAAGAAAAATACTTAGATAACAATAATGATAGTAGTATTATATATATATACTGTTGTGTCGTGTTCTCAATTTAAAAATCATTAATTATTAATTTGATGAAAGGCATTTTTATAAAATATCTACGTATTTCGTATTTTTCCTGGGACATAGTTTTTATCTAAAACTGGCTCTTGGAGAAACATGTGTAAACTTCTTTCGTTTTGTGCCAAAGGATGTCCTGCAATCCTGAAAATTAATAAGCTAATTTTAGTACTGATTCGATTTAATTTAATCAATAATAATTAGAGACTAATGCCAAAAATTATTCACTGGTAAAATTATTTTGGTCTATTTATAAATAGATTTATAATTATGAGTAAGCTCTTGAGTTTCCGTCTTTTTATATATAAAATTATTATTATTATTAAGAGAATAAGCAAAACTTTTTAGCCAGTGAATTTATCTGATAAATAGGTCTTTATGGTTAAATTAGGTATCGTTGGAAGTCTTGGAGTTGTGATACATAATTAAGAAATGACCCTGTATCTTGTGAACTATTGACATTTTTAAAGATATAAGCTCATCCCGATGTTACACTCATCAAGACCTTTCATTTGAGTACCCACATCAATTTTTTATATATTTATGTATATTATATATATGTATATATGAAAAATATATCAAAATGCATGTGGGTACTCAAATGAAAGGTCTTGATGAGTGTAACATCAGGATGAGTTTATATCTTTAAAAATGTCAATAGTTCGCAAGATAGCAATGTCATTTCTTAATTATTGACATTTTTTAAGACATAAGCTCATCCCGATGTTACACTCATCAAGACCTTTCATTTGAGTACTCACATGGATTTTTCATATATGCATATATATAATATATATAAATACATAAAATATAAAAAAAAAATGCATGTGGGTACTCAAATGAAAGCTCTTGATGAGTATAACATCGGGATGAGCTTATATCTTTAAAAACATCAATAATTAAAAAAGTACAGTGCAATTTAACTAAAGTCCTTATTTAATATAGCAAAATTTTATTTATTTATAGTTCATAAGTCACGGCAGTGACATAGTGACTGCAAAGTTGCTAGTACTTAATAAATTTAATAATAATAATAACATTAAATTTTTTTGCATTGATTATTATTATAATTATTTATAAAATACTATCTATAGTTACAATTTTGGCTCTTTATCAAATCAATCTATTAAAAAATTAATACACTTATAAAAAATGAATTTATAATTTAAATTCAAACAAAATTTCCAAAATCAAATTATGCTTTACATTAAAAAAAAAACTTACTTTTTTATCATAACTATAATAGCAAGATAAAAGTTATTAAGATAAAACCAACACTAATTACTAAAAAAGTGTTTAAATTACCCATTTAAAAATTTTTTAATATCTTCCTAAAAATCCTAAAAATAATTAAAAAAAAATCTTACTTATTGACAAATAATTCTAATCCCTTTCTACGGTCCTCAATAAACTCATCCTCAAAAATACCATCGTCTCCACGGAAAGGCATCTGACGTTTCCACGCCTTGCCGGGTAATGGAGGTACTACAATCTTAAATAAAAAAAAAACAAAATCATTATATAAATAAACATACCCAATTAAAGGCTCATAAATCCATATAAGTATTTTAAAAAATAGGAGTAATAAAAAACTAATAAATTAAATTACCTTGCTGTCTCTTTCTAGTTCATTTCTCAACCATTCAAAATCGCTGTATCTCCTTCTCACACTCGAGTCTTTAACTTTAAAAACTGGCAAGTTGGTCTGAACAAAAAAAAAATACATTAAAGCCATAAAAATGTATGTTAAGTATATTAACTATCTATTTATATTAAAATTAAATGGAAGACAATAAAGATTCCAATGACGTGTGATAAATAATTTAAAACATTAAAGCTCGGCTTTTAATTTTATGAATCACTTCCAGTAATTAGAAATGTCATAAGCAATAGGTGAAGGTTGAATTATTGTATTGCAATCATTAAATAATAATAATAAACTCCAAATTTATTTTATACCGGATGATTGTTGAATAAAAATGAACATTAAGCTAATGGGGGTGGAGGAAGTGACTGTGATTAGTGATAATAATTACTTACCCTCATACGAACTTCATAATCGGTATATCTTTTTTTGCCGACACCATGGGTGATCGGATTGATCACGTCGATCTCCAAAAAATTAGCTGGTGCAGCGTATGCATCGTCCAGAGTCTGTTTTTTGACGTTTAATCGTCTAGTTGCGTCCACTGTGGTATCTGCCATTGTAATTTTATTAATGTCCGCCGCGTGATTCAATCCACCTACTAAATGATTAATGATAAAAATTTTAATGATAACAAGAGTCACTCACTCTCCACGAAATCACACCTATACTAGTAAAGTAAAGTTAGAAAAAATTTTATGTTTGTGTGTGTGCCGTGTCAGTCTGTCGTTTGATAATCAGATGCGCACATAACATGGCTGACAGCTGATTTTTTTTAGCGCCAAAGTTCCTAGATTTTTTGGCGGGAAATTTGAATATTATAAATATTATTTTTAATTTTAAAGAAGAAATAATATCAATTTTTTTTTTTAATTATTAGGTAAAAATATTTAAATTTATAATTTTTTTTTTTAACAAATTAAGAAAATTAATTTATTTATTACAGTCTTTAGTTTTATTATTTTATAATTAAATTAAAAAGAAGAAATTAATTTTTCTTTTTAATTAATTAATTTAAAAGAAACATTAATTGAAAACAAAAAATTAATTTTTTTCGGAAGTTTTAAAATTAATTTAAATGAATTAAGCACTCCATAAATGAGAAATAAATAAAAAAAAAAAAAATTTAACAATAATTTACAAAGAAACTTATAAAAATTAATTAAATATTATTTTTTTGTATTTCGATTTCGAAGATTCTTTTTTTGTTGAGGTTTTGGAGGAAATTTTGACGGATAAAACATCGCTGGCAAACGCTTCCAGTGAATTAAAGCTGGTGTAAGAGCTTTGTTGTCGATTAACGGCCATGGAGGATTAGAAGCAGTTTCAAACTCATTTTGGCAAAAGATAACTTCAAGGTCAATCGTGTTTTTCCTGAAATTTAAAATTATCAATAAAATAATAATCTATTTATGAATTTTCAGTAAGCAAAACCATACCCTTGTTGATCGGTCTCCTTGTAAATATTAGCAAACGCTCCATTGCGCGGAGTGTGTCGCAAAAGATAACGTCCGGGTGGCATTTTTGTCATAGTGTCAGCGACGTTGTATATAATGGGATATGCGTCTTCACCTTTGACATTGTGCAGGCGATTCAGTTCATTGCTGATAGAAACTGTTGAGCGAGTTTCTCGTTGAATGTACTCCAAGGTTTGCGCTGACATTCGAACTGCAAAACTCATTTAATTAATTTTTACTCTTTTAAATATTTTTTTAACTAATTAAAATATTTTTATTGTTCAATAAATACCTCGCAGAAGAGTTGTATCTGGTGTAAATGCTAAAGAAATCCATTGTCTTGCTCCTTCTTCTATTGTAACCGCTTCAGCGCCTAAATATAATTGATTCTCTAATTTTGGTGCTAGTTTTATTCGATTTGTTTCATCATTTCTTGATTTCTGCATTAACATAAAAAAAAAATAAATAAATAATAATAACAATAATTTTTCAGAGTTATTATTATTATTATTATTATTATTAAATTTTTTAATAATAAAATAAAAATTTACCTCAATTCCATCAATTTTAGTTCTCACCAATAATTTATAATCTTTTTGAATTTTACTTTTCATAAGTTCATTTTGTGGAGATCCACCAGATCCAATTTCATAAATATTATACTGATACTGTTCGCACCAAACTCTATCCGAGTCTTCAACCGAAATATCAGGATCTCTCCAGTTGGGTGGTCTCGAACGCAGTAAGTTATCCTGAGTATTAGCATCAGGACTATCAGGAACAAGAAAAAAGCTCTTAAGAATGTACTTAGCAACCCATGAATTTTTTTGTAAAACATTTTTCACCATAGGCGGCAGTGGTTTGCCAACAAAGACAACATTTTTGTTGTTGATTTCTTTGACTTCAACCGGAAGGATCCAATTGTTCGCATAGGAAGGATCAATATTGATAGCCAGACAATTCAAGCCAGATTGAGTAATCACCAGATCGACATTGTGTTCCTTGGCTAAGTTTTCAAAATTACTGTCCAAGTCTCCTAAGAATAATTGAGAGTTTTTATCTCTAAAGTATCTGGCCTCGATCACCTTTGAGGTCCGGTCTAATACATAACGTCGCTCAGGGTCCGGGAACAATAACAGTGGCAAGTTTTCCTGAAATAAAATTTGCATTTTTGACATATTTTTCATATATACATATATATCGAATATATATATATATAAATATATAAAATATATGAAAAATTGATGTGGGTACTCAAATGAAAGGTCTCAATGAGTGTAACATCAGAATGAGTTTATATCTTTAAAAATGTCAATAGTTGACAAGATACAATGTCATTTCTTAATTATTGACATTTTTTAAGATATAAGCTCATCTTAATGTTATGCTCATCGAAACCTTTCATTTGAGTACCCACATGGCAATTTTTATATATTTTTCATATATACATATATAGAATATATATAAATATATAAAATATATGAAAAATTGATGTGGGTACTCAAATGAAAGGTCTCGATGAGTGTAACATCAGAATGAGCTTATATCTTAAAAAATGTCAATAGTTGACAAGGTAAAAGGTAATTTCTTAATTATGTATCTAGAGATAGAGCATTTTCTAATGCAGCCTAAATATTTATCATAATAAATTGACTATGGGTTAAAATGATATGAAACCTTGAAAAAGCACAACTCCATCTCAAGACCTTTCTAATGATACTAAATTCATAAAATTTTTCTTATTCTCTTAATAATATAGATAATTTAAATTAAATAATTACCACATCAATGACAGTAGATACAAAATTATTTTTTATCTCCAATTCTGAAGTAAATGGAATACTCCCAGCTTCTGAGTAATGCTTATGAAGTTTACGAGCTGATTTTAATTTCTTATTCCATTTTTCGTTGACAAGATCTTCTCTTATTAATTTAATCAGATCTGGGTTCCACTTATCCTTGCATAAATCCAAATAAATCTTCTGTTCTTCATCAATTAAATGTTTTAGCTCCTGAAATAAATTAATTATCGTATCACAACACTGAAATCAGCTGACAATTGATCATATTTTTTTAACAAGTTAATTAATTATTTTTAAAAATTGCATTTATAATTTTTAAAAATTTCTATTTATTAAATTTTTCATCATAATATAATTATTTAAAAAAAAACTCACCCAATAAGCTTCTAATTCAGGTTTTATTAACGATAAATTAGGAGTAGTAAAAATCTTTACTCCAAGTGCTTGTTGCTCAGCAGTCAAACTAGAAGATCTAGGAAACCTGATGTCAAGTTTTTTAGGCACCCCAGGAACGTAACCCCTTGGCAATTCCATTTCCTGCTCCACAGAATTATCCGCTTCCTTCTTGCGTCTTTTCAAATTTTTCTCCACATTCTGCTTAGCCATCATTGCTTTATAAATTTTAATATCATCTGGTGTTATCTTGTCAATGTATTTTTTATAAGCGTCTTTGGTAGGATCCACTAACATCTCACGGATTAATTGGTACATGACACTTGTGCTCTTTAACCTATCTTCATTGATAAACACATCGTCCACTACATCACTTGTTGGCGGATTCCTAACAAGTAATTAATTATCACTTATCAATTTAAATATTATGTCAATTTATAATAATTAACAAAACTTACCAGTCAATTTTTAGAAAGTCTTCCATCTTCAAACGTTTTACACACGTTTGTTTACACACGTGAGTTGTTCGAGTAGCCACTGGCTGCACGGGGGCACTGGCGGCACTGGGAAATACTTAATAACGACTGTTTTGACTTAACGTCTTTTACTATAATTATTTGCGTAAAATAATAACAATATTAGCGCCTGAGAAAGATAGTGTTCCGCAGGCTTTTATCGCAGCTCTTGACGACAAGAGTCATCAGGATTATATTCGAAAATTTATCAGCGATTTTCAAGTATGGGCACTGTGTGTATCCAGCGCAGTTCAACAAAAGGTTCGTTTTTTTTAAATTTATCTAATAATTTTTTTTTTAGAATACCGACAATAGATCTTGACAGATTTTTAATTATTGAATTAAATTCGCATAAATTTTTTTTTTCAATAAATTAACTCAAGAAAATTATTTAAAATAAATTGCATGTATATTTTTTTTCATTTGTTATATCTTAATTTATTTGTTAAAAAAAAAAAAAATTCTAAAACTAAAAATCTTTAAATGTCATTATTATTTTTTATGAAAATTATATAAGTTAGCTGACATCTAAAAATTTTTAGAATTTTTTTTTATTAAAAAAATTCATTTTTAAAAAACTTTAAAAATTATAAGTGCAATTTTTTAAAAATATTATTTAGTTCTAATTTAATAATTGAAAAAAAAACTCAAAAAATTAACAATGTCGGCTAACTTTAATATTATTCATTTTGTTGGGTAATATTTTTATGATATTAAAGTTAGCATTAAAGTTTTTTTTTAACAAACAAAATAGTTCCAAAAAATTATATTAAAAAAAAAATGAATTTTTTATTTTAAAAAATTTCTAAATTTCAATTTTTTTTATATATATATATTTTTTTTTTTTTTTTTTTTTTTAATATATTTGTTATAAAAACTTTTTAAATTGTCAAATATCTGTTAAATAAATTTTCATCTATTTTTTCAAAATTTTCATCTAGTTTTTCCAGCATTCTTCAAAGTTACTTCGCGCCTGACAAGTTAGAATTTTTTAATCTGAAAGTTTAAATGTGTCATTTAAACATTCTTGATGGTATAAAATAAAATGTGGCTTATAAAAAAATGTTATAAAAAATTAAATTAGCTGACATTTAAAAATTTTTACAATCTTTTTTATTAAAGAAAATTACAAAAAATTAAAAAAAAAAAAAATTAACATGATGAAAATTTGAAAAACTGGAAGTACAATTATAAAAAAATATTTTTCAATTCCAATTTTTCAAAATATGCATATATAAAAATTATAAATAAATTAAATTTCGGGCTCAAAACAAAAAATACTTAAAGCGCAAAGACTCGCTAATCTATCTATATTTTTATTTTAAGTTTTGTTGACTTTTTTTATTTTTAAATTAAATTTTGCATTGAGGTATTTCGTATCACGCTGTTTAAATATATATATATTAATAATATTAAGCTAATACTTTTGATACACTATTTTTTATTTGGATAAATATACTGTTAAAAAAACAGTATAAATATTTACATTTTTAATATAAAAAAAAATACGGAAAAAAGAAGATGATACTGGATATCATCCCAGATTATACTGAGTGAAAAAAATTTCAGATAGTAGATAGTAGAATCTGGATTACAATGAGTATAATCCAGATATCACTCAGTATAATCTGAGATGATATCTAGTTTGTTTCTAAAATGGTTTTTCCTTAAACAAAAAAAAAAAAAAAACTAAACTAAAAATTATAATTTTTGACACAATAATATCATAATTAAATATTTTTCCTGATGAGAATTTTTTAAACGGTTTCCGACTCGGAACCATTTTATATCAAGATTATTAAATCCATCTTTAAAGGATTGCTCCTATAAAAAATTTCTTATAAAATGAAAAACAATATAAAAACAAAAAAAAAAATAAAAATTCGTAAAAAAAAAAATCTAAATCTACCAACAATTTTTTTTTCACCTCCGGTTGCATTTCGACAAGACACTACATATACGTTGATGCTTTCCAGGATAAGAATAACTGATCCTCTGTTTTTGAGACCATCCTATTGAAAATCTGCACGCGATCAAGGTTTAGGCCCGTCTTATCGTTATAAATGCTCAAATAACGTAGCATATTTCTGTGGATACTCGATCTAATTCTCTTGTAACGTGAGCACAATCAGTACAGTTCTTTTCGTTGGGATTGACTATAATAAAAATAAATAATAATAAATAGGGTCGTAATACAGAATTAATATTAATATATTTAATTATTAGGTATAAATTATAAATACTTGGAGGAAATTTTAAATGGGATCAACGCCTGCCATGTTGAAATGTCTGATGATATAATCAATAAATTAATAATTATTGTTATAATACTATTGAATAATTGTGAAAATATGTGGTATGTAATAATAAATATTACAGTGATATACAGTAATATAATATATGTAATAATAACTTAATTGCCGCTTCAAGTTGACATAATAACCAATGAACCGATGTTCAGTGATTAGCGGCGTACGCGGAAAGGATGAGTCCAGCAGAATTGGAATAACTTATTCTTATATATTATATTACATCTACCCTCCATAATTGCAGGATTGGAATACCTTAATTCTTATATATTATCTTAGATGTTAGATAAGGGCGGTGACGTTTTGCGCATACAGTTATTAATGCACACAGTTCTTACACTGCCGATAATTTGGGTAATCAGGTTCTGGGTTATGATAATCTAGGTAATCGGTATCTAAGTCACCGGTAATCTGACTAATCTGACTCAGATTGGTCTGTAGGTAATAGACGTCTTCCCCTTTAACTTAAAAGAATTAACCATGTTGCCTAGCAACCTTCAGCATATCAATGCGCGCGCAAATTCAGTATTTTACATTGTAAGTAATAAGAAAAAATTAAATTTTATATATTGTAATCGCTAGTAATATACCACGTAATGTCCCAACAAACATTAAATTTTTAACTAATCACCAATGCAATCGATTTTAACAATGTGTAATTTAGTTACGACGATACATGCAACTACAGTGTATAAAAACTATCACAAATAGTATTAAAATCAAATACATTATTAGTAAATTATAAATAAATAAATTAAATTGTTTAGTATGAGTAGCAAAGGAAATGTGTTGCGCAAAAGTACATCACAAGAGTCTAAAATTCGCGATGAGCGTAAAAAAGTCGGGAAGAAAGAGGAAGAAAAAAAACTAGCTGTCAAGAAAGACAGCACAGTGATGAAAGAAACTAAATCTAGCAGCCGCAGAGCTGTAAGTAATCAAATTGTCAGTACATCAAAAAATTTAAGTGGCTCCAGGACTCAGACAGTTGCCAGTGGAGCTAGAAGTAAATTGACAAAACAAACTAGCGAAGAAAAGAGAGGCGTAAGTACAATTTTCATGCCTAGTAAAAAAAGTTATACTTCCAAACCTAGTGAGCATCCAAAAACTAGTAATAAGAAAGATGTCAAACCCAAAAGCAAAGAGCGAATGCCTTCAAGAGAGCGGAAGAAATCCCGGACTCTTAGTCCGAGTGAAGTTAAGATGCTCAATAGAAATTTAAACGTAGACGTAGCTCAGGAGCCGGAGTACGAGTATGAAGATGACTTTGAAGATTACGAGTCTGATTTCCAAGAGTGCACCGACTCAGAAGCTTCTCAGGTGAGATGTCATTATAGTTAGCAATCACTTGATCATTTAACAATTTTTTTTTTTAACAAATAGATTTTTTCTAAAAAATTATTTTAAAAAAATTGCAGTTTTTACTTTTTAAAATTTTGAAATATCAATTTTTTTTTTTGCCATTTTTTATTTGTTAAAAAAATTCTAAAAATTATCAAAAATCTGCTAAATTAATTTCGCCATTAAAGTTAGCAATCATTTTGACTTTTTTTTTAATTTTATTAAACTAAAAAATTTATTCTAAAAAAATTGTATTTTTAATTTTTTTAAATTTGTAAATCTCAATTTTTCTTTTGCCATAATTTATTTGTTACAAAATAATTAAATATCTGTTAAATTAATTTTCATTCAGGTGAGTGATGAATCCGAAAGTGCCAGCATAGACCCTGAAGATCCCGTGGAGCTCCAGGCAGTTTGCAAGCCCGCTAAAATCCTCCCCAATATAATTCCACCTCGGAAGTACGTCGAGGAAGAACACATGTTAGATTCAGGGCACTACGAACTCCAAGAAGCTCGCAGAAGAGCAGCTAGAATTGACCTAATATCCGCCAGCCGTTCTAGAAATCCTCCTCAAGCGATCCAGCGGCCGATTGTCTTCAGCGAGGACACCAAGCCCTCGGAAATAAAATCCTTGCCATCTTCTGCAGACGAGGGCTTCGAGGACGGGCGCTCTGGAGACTTTGGTAAGTCTCCGGTAATTCCACAAGCTCTTACTTGTGACCCTGGAAGCGTTAAAAAAAAGAATACCAAACTAGCTAGAGGCAAGCAAATCTTGCAGATGATCAAGCTGGATATCGTAGAGTGGTCGCTGTTCGAGTGCAAGCCAGTCGCTTATGAAGAGTTCATCAGAATTCATGGTAAAATCAACACGAGACAGACTTACTCGCAGACCAATGAAGACAATCTTAGCGTCGAGGTCCAGACTGAGGAGATAGAGTCTAGAAATATGTGGACCCAATTCCCCGTTGTTTGTAGGAGTTGTCTGAAAAGTGGGGAAGATATTAGAATGTTCACCAAAGAATTGATTGGAGTTGGTGGAGAAGACACTGAATCAGTTGAGCGAGTTCATTTTCAACATGATATCCTGCAGCTGAATGAATTTCTGAGCAATGCTGGAAAGCTGATGCTCGCTTTGCTGGAGGGAAAAGCTTCCAATGTTGAAGGAAGTCTTGATACCAATGAAGTGCCCATGCCCTTCAGCGAGCAGGCTATCAAGCTATCTGTAGCAAATGTTAGCTTCTTGTCCAACAGACCTGTGACGATGATCAGGTACTCGGAGATCTCCAGCAGGATTTTGGTGACTGTTCACGAGCCAGCTGATGAAGATATTGAAACAGCGGCTAGCGAGTTTGTCACCGACTGCTGCATAGGCTGCCGCTGGAATGTTGGCGAGCCTTCTAGGCCTACCAAAATTTTTTACTCTTCTAGCAACATCTCAGCATGCTGCTTCCACCCGACGAATTATAATATTGTCTTCGCTGGTCTAGAAGACGGCTCGATCAGTCTCTGGGACTTGGCAGAGGACGAGGATTATCACAGAAGAGTTTTGGATGTTGATAAAAAAATTAACTGGGTCGTTCGTGGTCCTACGTTTAATTCCGGAGGGAATTTTGAAGATACTTCTTCGAAGATTGTCGCTCTGACGGTGATCTCCAAGGTTGAGGAGAAGATTGATGGTAAAAGTGAATTCATGCCGATTCAAATTTGCAGTTTGGATGAAGATGGGAGCTGTGTTGTCTGGAGTGTGCTGAAGAACTTTGAAGGAAGTGTTGTTAGTCACTTGGGACAGTCTTGGTGGGGAAAACTCAAGCTTGTTAAGAGTCACGAGGTACCGATCCATTTAGATAAACATTTCAAATTGAATAACTTCCGGGGATTCACTGATGTCAAGATTGATAGCTTGGATTCTGATAGGCTCTATGTTGCTTCCAATGTCAACAGAGTGTTGCATGCCACACGCATTGGCAAGAAGCCCAAGCCGCTTGGGTATAATGCTACTGGTCAGAAATTTTATTTATTAATTGTTATGTAAGGTTTAATTGTTGATGGTGATAATTGTGATTTTTTGCAGATTGCACTGGAGGTATGACCTGCATTGAAACTTGTCCGTTTTATCAGCCATTCTTCCTAGCTGGGTGTCAAGACGGGACTGTTTGTCTCTACTACTCGATGATTGAAAGACCGCTTCTGCAATTGAGGAATTTAAACAGCACTGCCGCTATTAAAATTATTCAATGGTCTCGCTCGAAACCAATGACTATTTATATCCTTGATAATGACTCATGGTAATTTTATTTATTTTACACAGAAAAAAAAATCATGGAATTTAAGTTAGCAGGCACTTGATAATTTTTTTAATTTATTTTATAAAGTTTTTCTGAAAAATTTCATTTTTAAGTTTTTTCCTGCAATTATTTAATTATATACGAAAATTATTAAATATTTGCTAAATTAATTCTAATATAATTATCACATTAAATTTAGTAACCACGTGATTATTTCTTCAATTTTTTTTAACAAATAAATTGGTTCTAAAAAATTGAATTCTTAATTTAAAAAAAATTTTTTTTTTTTGTCATAATTTATTCAAAAATTATTAAATATCTGCTAAATTAATGATAAAAAAATAAAATTAAATCAAATAAATTTGATTTGAGTAAAAAAATTTTTGATCTAAAAAATTATTTCTATAGTTTAAGAATAAAAAATACTTAAATTGTTAATTTTTTTTTAGGATTCATATTTGGGATTTGAGTAAAAGTGATATTTTTCCAACCCATAGTATATCTCCAGGAAAATATTCTCATGTTGATAGCATGCAGTTGTCACCTTGTAAAAGTAATAACGATTTAATTAATCAATACATGGCGCTTGGATTAAATAACGGTAATGTAGAAATCCATAAGTTCAATAAACAATTTAAATATTCCATCAAAGAAGAAATTTCAACGGAATTAAAAATTCTTATAAATTACTTATCTGTTTGTTGAAGAATGTTTTTTTTTTTTTTTTTTTTTAATTATCACTCGACTACGTCCGTTCAGTTTTTTAGCACTTACATTCTACATCAGTGATAGACTGAATTTATAAAATAAAATATTTATAAGATTAAGCACCGTGTAATTATGTAGAATATTATATAAATCTGATTACTTTGTATACTAAATATTTAACAAACTTGTGTTAAAATAAAAGTACATTTTTATTGGAAAATATATTTGGTATCTTTAAAAAATATCACATAGACTTTAAACAAACTTTTAAAAATATTAAAAAAGTTAAGTAAAAAATGTAACTATTTGCGCGTAAACTTACACTGCTGCAGGCGTAATTATTATTAGTTTTATTAAGTTGCTTCAGAATGTCCTGATAATTTCTCGGTAATCGTATATGATCGGTGTCTGCTTGCAGACTGTGACTTTTTTCCTAAAAATGATCTATGTTATTCTCGCTGAATCTCTAGGTACATAATTAAGAAATTACCTTGTATATTGAGAACTATTGACATTTTTAAAGATATAAGCTCCTTCTGATGTTATACTCATCGAGACCTTTTATTTGAGTACCCACATCAATTTTTCATATATTTCATATATTTATATATATGACATATATGTATATATGAAAAATATATCAAAAATGCGTGTGGGTACTCAAATGAAAGGTCTTAATGAGTGTAACATCGGGATGAGCTTATATCTTTATAAATATCATAAGTTGACAAAATACAATATAATTTCTTAATTGTTGACATTTTTAAAAATATAAGCACATTCTGATATTACACTCATCGAGACCTTTCATTTGAGTACCCACATCGATTTTTCATATATTTCATATATTTATATATATGATATATATGTATATATGAAAAATATATAAAAAGTGCATGTGGGTATTCAAATGAAAGCTCTTGATGAGTATAACATCGGGATGAGCTTATTTTTTAAAAATGTCAATAATTAAGAAAATACAGTGCAATTGAACAAAAGTCATTATTTAATAAATTCCTAGTATTTAAATTAACCGACCAAGTAATTAAAATACTTACAGGAAAAATGACACCCAAATGCGTGTCAAAAAATCCATAAAGTGAAATTGCAGGCGCCTGGCCGATAAATTTCGACCCAAACCAAGCGTTTAATTGCATTAGCATCCCCGTAATTTCATTTCGCCTCAACTCCGTCATGTTGGAGTTAACAATTATCTAATTAAAAAATTACATAAATGAAATACACATTTTTTTTATAATAACAATAACAACTCAAAGATTAATTAAAAAAAAAAAAATAAAATTACCGAGCCCAGAGACGTCCAAGTTAAAATACACTCTTCATTAAAGTACTTGGGCTTATATATACAAATTTTTCTTAAATTATCAAACTTGTGTGAATCATTCTTCGGGTGAAGATCAACGATCGCAACATCGCCTCTTCCTGAAATTAAGCAGTCATACGTTCTTTCGACTTCAGACTTGCTCTCGTTATTATCAATGACAAACACATTGTTTAAGTAAATATTCTGAAAGAAATGAGTAATTGGTCTGTCGTCTGGACAATTCCACATTGGATTGTCGCTGTGATTCCTCATCACTGCTATAAATGCATTCCATCCTGAAAACAAAAATCAATAATTACTGTCATTAATTTATACATACAATTATATAAGTATATAAATAAATAAATAATCATTTTATTTTAATTACCTACACTCAGGTGCTTTGTAAAACACGCACGTGTTCCCTCGAGATCTTTTATATTTTTAATTTTTGAATTATTTTTTACTATAATTCCAATAATGTTTAAATCTTCATTTTTTTTAGGAACTATTTGAAGAAGTGGGATCACATTTTTTCTGTAATTATTTATTATTTAATTTTTTTTTTTTTTATCGTCTAATTTAAATTAAAAATTATTTATTTATTTATCAATTTATTGAAAAATAAATTTTTTAAAAATGAATAAATAAAAAATAAATAAATTAAAAAAGAATAAATTAGAAAAAATTAATTAATTTAATACTCATAAATCTGAGTCATTTCTTCCGGCATTGTAACAAAAATATCGCAATCATTGCGTTCAACTGCGTCAATGCAAGCTTTGCGTCCCGGTTGTTGATAACAGGATATCGCTGGCTCAATTCCGTGAGAAAATGCGGCATCACGTATCCACTGACATTTACTGTCTTCAAGATTAGAAGCAACACACCATTTGACACGTCTTGAAGGCATACAAGGCATTCGCATGTACACGCCTCTGAATCCAGCGACTGAAAATTAATTTCATTAATTATCAATTATTATGATGATCATCATTTATGATAAAGATTAAAATTAAAAGCAATATAACTATTTTTAATTACACTGATTCAGATAATCTACTGGCGTTTGAAGTACTTCTGTTTCTACGGGAGTTACGTGATAGTTTTCCAGTAATTCAACAAATTTTCTTTGAGAGAAAGATACTTTGTACGTGATATTTCTTATTAATCCTGAAACTCGAGCTGCTGCGGCTCTGAAATTTTGTAAGAAGAAATGAATTATTGTAAAAAAAATAATGTTAAAAAATTTTTTTAAAATAATTAGTTTAATAAAATTAAAAAATAATCAAATGACTGCTAAATTTAATGTAATAATTATATAAAAATTAATTTAGCAGATATTTAATATTTTTTTTTTTTTAATTTTTATAACAAACAAATTATTATAAAAAAAATTTTTTTTAAATAATTTGTTTGTTAAAATAAAATTAAAAAATGGTCAATTGACTGCTAGAAAAAATTTAATTTAAATAAATAATTAAATTACAATTCGAAATAATTACAGACAGTGAAAAAAATATCACCTGCGAGAAACAATGACAGGAAATGGTTTAGCGATCCAAGTACAAGGTCGACCGAGATCCAGCGACTTGACTGTCTCTCCATCGGGACATAAGTAACTATAAGAGCTATTATCAATTTTTTGAGCAGAAAAGTGTCGCTTGGCATCGTCCAACCGTACCCAGGCAATGTCACCAACATTATCTGTCAAGCACAAGAGAGCTCCTTCGCGTCCGTGGTATTTATCGCCGGCATAGCAGCCGTTCGGATTATCACAAAGCGAACACAAGTTTCGGTATTTTAATTCTGCAATAAATAATTATGATTATTTATTTTAATCAAATGAATAAATACGTTTTTTACACACTGAGACGACTGTCTTCATGGGTGTCGTAGGTCCAAGGACCAGCGATACAAGCAGCTTCAAAGAATTTTGAAAAGGAAGATATACTGTTCTCAAATAGTGTCATATTTTGGTCGCAGTTGCTCGGTATAACCCATGTTTGAAAAAACTGTAATTAAAATATTATTTTTTATTTAAAAAATAATTTAATTTATTAAATAATAATTACAAACATTTGCGAATATACGTGTCCAGTCGATTACGTCAGAGTCGAATCCTGGATGGCAAAATTTTTTGTTCTTTATGTCAGATAAATTTTTTATTTTATCTGATACCAGTATCACCATTTCAAAGCGCGCTTTGTCTAAAAATTGCAATTATTTTTTATTTATTTTAATATTTTTACTGTTTAATAAATTTTATTTGTTTAATTTAATTAACTGACCTGTCCGAGCTAGGCGTAATTCATGAGTAATTAAAATTGGAGATTCTCCTTCGGAAGTTGAGTAAGTAACAAGATCCTCTGGTTCAAAAACTGCAGCATCAGCATCACCATTTTCTAGTCTTCTTAAGCAATTATATCTAAAAAAAAAATAAAATTATTATTTATGGAAGGTGATAAGATATGGGTGGTATATCAATTGAAAGCTTTTTTTTAATGGACAATAACTTTTTATTAAAATTTTATTGAAAGTTTGTACCTGTCATTTACAAAAATACAATCAACCGCATCGCTGTCATTCTGGTGAACCAGTTCTCCAAAAGTCATCGGGACATTCTGAGCCTCTGGAGTATTTCTGGCCACGCAGAATCTCACTGTGGAATAAAAAATAAATTATTAATAATACTAAAGTTAGCCGACATTTTTGATTTTTTTAGTTTGCTTAATGTATTAAATTATAACTAAAAAATATTTTTAAAAAATTGCACCGGCCTAGAGTTTTTGAAGTTTTTAACAAATAAAAAAATTTTTTTTTATTTTTTTGCAATAATTCTTTAATAAAAAAAATTCTAAAAATTTTTAAATGTCGAATAACTTTAATGTCATACAAAAAAATTGTTTTAAAAAATAAAATTTAAAGTTTTTCATGTTTTTTACAAATAAAATTTTTTAATAACAATTTTTTTGATAAAAAACATTATTAAAATTTTTAAATATCAGCTGATTTAATTTTCATGCTAATTTTACTATTATAAAATAAATTTATGAAAACTTACATTTTTCAGCAGTGATTTGAGAAATCAAAGATATCAAAATGACCTGGATCAAGGTCATCATATTGACAAACATCTGTCGAGTAAAAATTCACAGAGACTTATTAAATAATTCACACATTTAAATGCTGCCGTTAGAGTACCGGGTGACTAAATCCCATTAAAATTGCTTCAAGTATAAACACGCGGGCTACTTGCTATTACAATTCAATTGCAATCATGATCACGCCCCGCCACGACAACTTCGTGACATGCGTACACGTATTTGTACTGTACAGTAGATATACACAAGTATATATTTTAATTATAGATGTATTGTATATAAACATAACGTCCCAAGTTTCTGCATCCAGCCTCCTTGCTGTAAGCCTGTAACAGATCAATAAGAGATAATTTTTCAAGGTTTTTTTATAATAATTATTTAAATGTGTCTTTTTATTTAGCTCTGTTTTATCTTACCAAGGTACAGATGATTTTTATTTAATATGTTTGCGTGTTTGTGTTTTTATTTACTCACACATAAAAATAATATTCAACAGTTGTTGGTGCATGTGACATGTGTGGGAGATTATATATATTGTATACATTTATATACAATCTAGTAACTCGGTTTCATGTTCTCCTGATACTATTTATCAAAATATCTATATTTATAAAGTAATAAAATATTTTTTCTTCAAGTTCTCGGCGCGACTAGAGACTAGATGTGAAGCTACAAATTAAATTACTTCATTGGAGCTACCAGATAAGATATTTTTAATGAAAATAAACAATTATAACTATGATCTCTTGATAATATATTTATTTAACAATCAGTAACGACTGAGAGATTCATTAAAATTGATCCAGCGCTCTTTTTGATATCAAGATGTCTGGAGATGACAAGTTCAAGATCAACTTCAAGCAGTTGCCCATCAAGGCACATTATTTCTTCTTTATGGGAGGTAAAATAATAATACTAAAGTTAGCTGACATTTTTGAATTATTTTTATTAATTAAATTAGAACTTAAAAACATTTTTTAAAAAATTGCACTTACAGTTTTTTAATTAGGAATTTTTTATTTTTTTGTAATAATTTTTTAAAGGAAAAAATTAACCTAAATTTAATTATAATTCTGAATTTAAAAGACTTAAAAAAAAAAAATATTTTTTAATTTTTTTCTAACAATTAAATTACATTAAAAAAAGATGTCGGCTAACTTTATCTTTATAAATAATTAATTTAGCAAATATTTGGTAATTTAAAAATTTTTTTACAAATAAATTATGACAAAATAAAATTAGAAAAAAAAGTGACATTTAGAATTTAAAAAAAAAAAAATTTAATATTCAATTTTTGGAACTAATTTATTTGTTAAAAAAAATTAAAAAATTATTGACAGCTAAATTTAATTATAATTTTGAATTTAAAAGACTTTTTTTCTAAAAATTTTTCTAACAATTAAATTACAATAAAAAAAAAATCTATTTGTCAAAATTTTATAAAATATTTTTTTTTAATCTATTGGTTATAAAAATTCTAAAAATTTGCAATTAAAAATTTATTTTAACTAATAAATTATAGCAAAAAAAAAAAAATTTAATAAAAAAATTTCAATATTAGAAGCTCTAAAAAATAATTAATTTATTATTTAAGACTAATTTATAATTATAAAAAAAAACATTATTAAGTGTCTATTAATTCCACTCTTATTGTTTAATAATTTTAAATAATTTATAATTAAAAATACTGATGATAATTTTAGCAATGGGTCCCATCTTGCCGTACTTGTCAGTTTACGGTAAACAACTAGGAATATCTCCACTAGTAATGGGCTCAGTCACAGGAATCCTACCAGTTCTATACTTGCTATCAAAACCAGTCTTCGGATTTCTCGTAGATTATTTCAGGAATCAGCGTAAACTAATCTTCATCTGCTTGCTGATCATGGGATCACTATCGCTAGTTCTTCTGTACTTTCTACCTTCTCCAGCCGGAGAATTTCACAAGTATTTAAACAAAACAATTGACATAACTTATTCGAAATGTAACATTGAGCCGTGCCTTAATCAAACAAGAGGAAAAAATTATCAAAATAGAGCGATAAGTTATCACGCAGATTTGACGTGCTTGAATAAATGCCAGCAAGAGAAAATTTTAAACGTATCTACTGTGCTGGTGTCTGAAGCTAGCGAGTTACTGCCGATTTGCATTGACAATGTTGATTTTAATAACACATGTCACAACAATCACACTGCAGTTGAATGTAATGTGACATGTCTGATAAATGACATAGATATTGTTGAAGAATACTTGTACTACAGCGCTCGATTTTGGGGATTTGTTATTTTAATGGCGCTGGGATGTATTTGTTTCAATGTTGCTAATTCTATCAGTGACGCTGTTTGCTTTGACGTTTTAGGTAACGCAATTATTAATTAATAATTATATATGATTCTAAAATCAGCAGATATTTTTAAATTAAAAATTTTTTTTTGATTAAATAAATTAGACCCAAAAAATATTTTTAAAAAATTGCACTTATAATTTTTAAACTCTTCTAAATGTACAATTTTTTTTAATAAAAAAAAAAAAAATCCTGAAAATTTTTGGATGTCTGCTAATTTAATTTTTATAATTTAAAATAATAAAATAAATTGCAAAGTTAAATTGTTATTGAAGCTGATCTACGAGATTGTCATTCTGACTAGGTGAAGGTAGCTCTATGGGCTATGGACGACAAAGAGTGTGGGGGTCTATCGGCTGGGGTATCACTGCACTATTAGCTGGTTATGCTATAGATTTGGTATCTGAAGATGAGTACTACAAGTCTTATACTCCAGCCTTTATTCTTGTCATTGTCTTCACTGGTTTTGATATCATTAGCTGTACAAAACTGCAGGTTTGCTGATCAATAAATTTTTTGATTATCAAATTAATCTAAAAATACATTTTCAGTATGATACTGAATTTAACAATTAAATTATAATGAAAAAAAAATTTAATTAAAAAATACTTAATATAAAAATTTTAAAAAAAATTAAAATTTTTTTATATCAAAATTTTTAAAAATAATTGCTTAGTTATAAAAATATCAAAAATTATCAGATGTCTGCTAATTTCAGTACAATTTTTCAGCTACCAATAATGAGCAGATCAGACAATATCGCCAAAGATGTCTGGAAACTTTTAAAACTACCAAAGATCTACATATTTCTAATTTTCGCTACAATCGCTGGAATCATCGACAGTTTTTTAATATATTTTCTCTTCTGGTACATTGAAGATCTTGCCAAGCAGACTGATTTCTTGAGTCAAATAAAATTAATTGAAGGTCTTGTCGTTGCTGCTCAGACACTTGGCGGTGAAGTATTAGTCTTTTCGCTGTCAGGTAATTAATTTTATTTTTTTTAAATATAATAAATAAAAAAAAAATAATAAAAATTAATTGTTATTCATAATTTCTTTCAGGAAAAATTCTTAAAAAATTCGGCTACGGATATACTATGACATTTTGCTTTGTCTGTTATTCAATTCGTCTTTTACTAATTTCTTTATCGCCAAATCCATGGTGGATTGTTCTGATAGAATTATTCATGCAAGGACCATCTTATGCTTTGTGTTATACGATAATTGTCGGATTTGCCAGTGTTGTAGCACCACCTGGTACTTCTGCTACTGTCCAAGGTATCGTTGCTGGAATGGATGATGGCTTTGGTATTTATTTTGTTTTTTTAAATTTAATTTAATAAATTTGAAATTATTATTTTAATAAATTATACATAATTAATTTATTGATCTAGGATTTGCATTGGGAAGTTTTATCGGTGGAATTTTGTATAAAATGATTGGAGGAGCAATGACATTACGCTTATTTTCTCTACTCAGTATTTTAACTGCAATCTCATACTTAATTTTGTATGTAACTATTTTAAAAGACGGAATGCCAAAAACTAAAAATGAATCTAGTAGAGATAATATTAAGTGGAAGAGTCCTCAAGATGCAGCTGAAGATTGTGATACTTCTGATATTAACTCGTAGTAAACATATTAGATACTGAATTTCAAGTCTACTGTTTATAAATAATAATTTAATATTGTACCTTCAGTAATTTTAAAAATATTTTTGTAAAATTAAATAATAAATTTATTTTATTATTTATATTAAAGAAATATTATTGATAGTATATTTTTGTACAGTACTTAATTTAAAGATAGAAAAAATTATTGTTCATTAACAAAAGCTTCATATTTTTCAGTAAAAACCTGGGTGACATGATCGCAAGCTGCCTCGAGGTCTTTGAGACCACGTCTCAGTGCATCAACGGCACGGCCGTTGCCTTTCATCTGGATCCTGAAGTGCATTTTCGGCTCTGCTGGATGTGGCACTGTATAACCACAAAATTCCACGTCGGGACTGAAATTTTAAAGGTTAGTTTATTTAGATATTTTATAATTTTTTTTTTTAATAAATAAATTATAAAAAAAAAAAAAAAAAAAAAAAGTAATAAAATTGAGAAATTTAAAAAAATAAAAAATTTTTTTGTTAAACAAAATAAAAAAATTGTCAAGTGACTGAAACTTTAATGTCATTGTTTATTAATAATTAATTGAAAATAATAATTTGATTTTCTGCCCTCCGGCCGGAAAGTGGCAACTTTCTGGCCGCTGCGCTAAACAAAGTTGCCACATTCCGGCTACGTCGAGCAGAAAAATCGTATACACACCTTGGCCAGTAAAAAGTAAAGCCAACTCGGCTTCGCCTCGGCCAACAATTACATGTGGTCTGAGACTTTTCTTATTTTACTGGCCTAGGTATGTAATATACTATTAACTTACTAGTGTGTAATAATACTCCGGAGAGCATTTCCTAGAGTGTGGCCTTCGTCTTGAAAAACAAATGTCCGAGATTGATCTCCGGAAATTTGATCACCAGCTAACTGAAAATAATTTTATAATATTAATTGATTTATTTAGAAAATTTTTAAATGAAATAATTTATAAATTTTTTACCTCAGCAAGTCGGACCATTTTTCACGTGGTTAGTTGTTATTATTTTGACTACTCTGTATATATATATATATACTAACCCATCCACATCTAGGGTAGCCAGATATTTTAGATATTTTTTTTCCGAAGTAGCCAAGTTACGGCGCTGTGTTTTTTTATAACCGTAATGTGGCGCTAGTAGTACTTGAAGTAAGCGCCAATATTTAAATGGCATATACGTGTACATAAATTTTTTTAAATATGTATAAAATAAATAGTAAAAAGTTTAAAGTTCTATCTCCTCATTGGTCTTTATAAAAAAATGCTCAAAAATCAGGGCGTCAAACCAGAAGATCCCCTTGAATTTGTAGAGTTGACAGATGAATTCTACATATACTGTCAGATAACAAATTTTCAACTTTTCTTATAGGGATGGTAAATTCGATTTCGATTCTATTCGAGATTCGAGTTTTTTTCGTAAAATAATCAATTTCTAGGAATGGATTTTTAATTTCTAAAGTCGATTGAGAATTGATTCTTGAAATTCGATTTTACTGTTAAGTGACTAGTTTTAAGTTTTACATACCATTACAACAAACCTTGTGATTTAAAGTCATACAAATAATATAAATTTGTTTATTGTTTGAGATTTATTTATACTAAATATTATTTCTTTTCAATATCACGTTCCAGATGCCATAAGGGCGTATACCGGTCAAAGGTCCTGATGGAAAGCCATAAGGGCGTATTAGTTATTTATGTACCTTGGGCGAGCCACGTGCCAATACGGTCGAGGTGATAAATATTTTCAGCAGGGATAGTATAAGGCTGAGGCCCGATAGGACCGAGGCTTTATATCCCTGCTGGAAATAATTATCGCCGAGACCGTATTTGCGCGGGGCTTGGCCATGGTGCTTAAAAAATTTTACGTCCTATGGCGGACGTATGCGGGTTTTTACGTGCAGACTATGGAGGGTAGAAGTGACTTCTACCCTCCATAGTGCAGACGACTGCACGTCGTATATAATATGTACTATGTAGTATATAGTATGTAGTATACTGGGCTGTATACTTACCATGAACTTTCGAACAATTTATCATTCGTATATATCGCTCTTTGACTAGTGTTACTTCGACCAGATTTCATAAATAAATTTTCGTCTGTTTCATTTTATTCTTTTGACTATAATTAATTTTAAATATTGTTAATTTCGAATAGTTTTCATTTCGGATATTTATGACTTTGCAGATTTTGTATTTTCGAATGAAAATAATTTGAGTGGAGTTTCTGGCACCCGAACGCTGAAAACGACATTTAAGCGCGCTCAAAACGTGTGAGCGTCCAACGCGAATGTACTCCATTTTTACAATTTTCAGTGTTTAGTCCACCATTACGTCTGCTTTCTTTATAGATTCAGTTGTTTGTTTCATATACAGACAATATTAGAGCCAAGCTTATAATATTTTACACAATAAATTTATTCTGAATAATAATAAATTTAAAAACATTCCAGAGGATAACAGCGTGTTGTTTAAATTTTATAATTCGAAGAAATTTTCTGATCCTGCAATTGGTAAATATTTATATGGTTATTGATTATAGTTATGTTTTTAAAGTTTTTTTAAATGTCTGGATTTATTTTTAAAGAAGTTGTTACTAAAAAAAATACTGATATTTAATTGCATTCTTCCCTTTTTTTTTTTCAAATAAGTAACGCCCCAAAATTCTAAACCTTTACGACTTTCACCAAAAAATCTCTCTTGTTCCAATGCCCTAGTGTTAATATCGTCTAAAGGTTTTTCTAAGTTTTTATGAAACCACGTGTAAGATTTAAAATAAATTGTTTGTGAATCAAATTTAAATTACGCAAAAAAAAAAAAAAAAATTGAAACAAGCAAAGAAACGGTGAAAATTAATATTTAAGTGAGTCCACAATTAAGATTTTATATTTTCTTTTAATAATTTCAATCATTGTATTAAAATTTTAGAATAGGGTAAATACCCCAATAGATGGACGGTTAAGCAAACTCTTGTATTCTATTATAAAAAAAATAATATAGGAATATACAGATAAGTTGTGATAAAGTAAATTATATTTATGTAAAAATATATAATTAACCAGGAAAAAATAAGTAAAACTTCGTAAAACGCTGTAGTAATTAATAAAAAAGAAAAATATAAGAAAAAGTCCAAAACTCCAGTAGATGGACAAAATCTCCAGTAGATGGACACTACTTACAAGCGATATTTTCGATTCATTATTTATATCAGAAATAATTAATTTATTAATTTTTTCCACTAAAAAATAAAGCTTGA